GGTTTGACAGTTGCATCCCAAACTGGTGAATTTATCGTACATCAGAGGCCACTGACAGGATGTGTTGCAGTATTGTCCATTCCGGCTCCTGTAGTTCACCTCCCAGCTGTCTGTTTCCTCCACAGGTACGAGCAGCGGCACCATGGCCTGCTGGGAAATGCGGTTCCAGCTCCCCATCTCAAACCACTCCCACCCAGCCCGAATCAGACGACTGCTGATGCATCCGCTCTACCAATCATCGCAGGTCTGATCGGTTTATATAATTAATATGTGAAATGTTCTTTAGATTTAGTTTAGACTGAAGGACCTTTAGCACAGTGAACTATTAAATAAGATCAGTTTAACCTACCAGGACGTTTGAGTCGAGTGTGACCGAGTGTTTGTATCTGAAAATCTCTCTCTGTCCGACTGTGTGCAGCAACTGTTTGATAACAAGTTCGTATCAACTTTAAAGGAGTCAGGTGTTCTGTGGCCACTGAAAGTGTGTGTTTGTTTGGCAGCCGTCTCCTCACAGTGTTCACGGGATCTATTGCAGTCCTGCTGACGGGAACCCTCTGCTGCTGACTGCTGGGTCTGACATGAGGACCAGGTCTGAACCAGACAAACACAACAACACCACACCGCCTCCGTACAACATCAGTGTGACACAAAACACAGTCCGTGTTACGAACTGAAGGTTAAACCAAAACAAAACACCAGATCTTTTATTTTAGACATCTTTAATTGTAGATTTTGAAAAGCTGCTCCAAAATCTGCAGAGCTCCTCAGTCTAGAAGGAGCCGGTGTCACCGTCATCCTGGTTCCTCCAAATGTGGGTTTTGTACATGACCCACAAACAAGTGAACGGACCCTTAGTGAAGAAGTGGTGTGAGAAAAGGATTCGTTAGCCGTAAAGAGAAAAACACCACATTCATTTTTACTACCCCGTCTCATCTTTGCCAGCTTTTTCACTACTAATTACTTTGCATCCCTGTCAACAAACACTCCAGCTGCTTCCTTTTAACAGTTGCTAAGCTGAGTTACTGCTCAGAGGAGTTCAGCAAAATTTCTCCTCACAGACACAAATAAAAACAGATGAGACTGAATCACGAAGGCTGAAAGCTGAGATGTGAATTATTGGACACGGCGGTCAAAACAAAAACAATAAAGAAACGCAGACAGCTGGTACTTTATCATTACACTCGAACGTTTTAGTTGTGGTTTCCAGGTTCTGGGATCTGGCATATCCTGAGAAGGTCGTACATCGTGGCGGGAGGAGCCAACGACTCGCTGCACTGTCCCGTTTGTTCTCTACAGCCGGAAGATCATCGAAGGAACTGCAGTCGTACAGGTGGGTGAACACACACAGGTGACAGGTGCACTACTACTACTACCATCTTCACTCCTATTGTTAGTACTACCACTGCTGCTACGTGTAGAAATACAAGTTTATACTACTAATATTACTACCACTACTGCAAATCATACTACTACTGCAGTTTTTACTAATACCACTGTTTCTACTGCAGTTTTTACTAATACCACTGTTTCTACTACAGTTTTTAATGCAACTACTACATTTCAGCTCAGGAAATGCATTTATTCTAGTTTCATATCTTTTTGAGCTTCACTCAGAAAAATCTAATTTGTCCAATTAGAGTGCAGACAGGAAGAGAGGCTGATGGGAAATGTAGTTTCTAACTGGACCAACTGACCAACATTTCTGAAGTTCTGAAGTCAGTTTGAAGGTGTTTTGATGTCCAGATCGAATTCTTCTGTAAACTTATTTCCCATCATGCCTCCTGTGAGTGAGGTTAAAAACCATCTCACGTGTCTTCTGCAGGAGATCCACAGTAAACAGAAGAGCGGCGTGGTGGAGGACTCGCCTCGCCGCGGGCCTGAATCCCTCCCCGTGGGACACCATGACATCATCACTGACATCGCCAGCTTTCAGACCACACAGGGATTCATCGTCACCTGGTCCAGAGACGGCATCGTCAAAGTCTGGAAGTGAGGACGAGCGGCGGCAAGAGACGACGCGCCAACAGTACACACACACGGGATTCTGACTTTAAACTCAGAATTCAATTCTGAGTTATACGCTGTGTTGGAAACGGGCTAAACTGCTGTCTCAGAAGGTGTCTAACAGAACAGCGAGGCATCGAGCGCTGTTTGAAACTGCTCGAACGATCTCTTCCTGTCTCCTGAGATGCCTTCAAGATGCCCCAGTAAGGGCCAGTCGATGGTGACTTGACGCTGACTATTACTCATTAACCAGCGCGACTGCGGCCGCCGTAGCTTTCGAAAACTGGTCAAGATGGCGGACAAACAAGCCAAATTTGTACACAAATATACGTTTTTAAAAGTTGTTTTCTTGCTTTGATTTTTGAAAATCTAGCGAGAACTAAACACTGAACTCTGTCATATGAGCCCGTGACTGTAACCAACCAAGTTTGTTCAGTCTGATTTCTGAGGTGTCCGTTAGCCGTTTGGCTTTTCAATAGCTAGTTAGCTGACAGCTTCTGACAGCCAGAAGAGACGCAAGACGGCGTGCTGTCGACACACGTTGCCGTAAGTGCTGCCCTAGAAGGCTGTTCGAAACTAATGTAAACAGAGCTGCCATCACCTGAAAGTGATGCCTTCTGAGGCAGCTGTCTGTTACGCCATCGAGGCAGCGAGGCAGCTGCCTTCCGTTTCAAACACAGAAAAAAGTCAGAGCTCTGAGATTAAAAGAAGAATTTTGACTTTAAAGTCAACTCTGAGAAGAATTCTGAATAAAGCTGATGATACACGGGGCAACTTTTTGAGCAATCTTGCTGGTGGCAAGTCCGACTATGTTTTGAAGGGATAGCGGTGGTGCGGGGAGGGAGGCGGACTGATGGGGGGAAGGGGATTACGGTAGTAATCATTACTCATTACCACTGACTGCAACATTGCTCTAAAAGTTGCTCCGTGTATCATCAGCTTAAGACAAATAAGAATTCTTCTGACTTTAAACTCAGAATTCAATTCCACTGTTTCTGTTGAACAAGACGCTTTGCTACATTTTGTCGCCGCTGAACTCGATCCAGGTCTGTCAGGCTCTGGATCTTATGTTGCGTTCCAGGCGACTTGGAAATTTCCCGACCTGCTCTGCTAACTTCAGTAAGTGTAATTAAAATAGATTTTATTCGTAATAATGGTCCTTAGCAAGTTTGTTCATAAAACAATTAATTTTGATAATTTGTAAAATTTTTATTATAACATTAAACATTTTGCACGTGTCCCTGAAATTGCTGTCCACCCCGTCATTGTGGGGTCTCTTTAAGAAACAGGCTGATGTATTTAGTGACATCATCACCAGCAATTTGTCTTTGTTCATTGGAGGTTTAAACAACTGCTGGAAGTATATAACATTTCTACACTTCTATTTCTTAATTTTCATCACATTGTGTTTGTAGCTGGATGTTGTCAAGCTTAACATGTCCACCCTGTCATAGTGAAATATTAATTATTAGAAAAACTTTTTAGAAACTCAACATCTATTTGCTAAACAGTACACGGTCACCTTCAAAATGAATGACTTTGCTAACTGAGGGGCCACCATGTGCTCACTTATTGCTAACTTTAGTGAAAAAGTGTCCACCCTGTCATCAATCGCTCTATGACAGGGTGGACATGGTACATTACATGGAGGACTTGTGCTTAGTTTCCCCACATTCTTATAATTTTAAACCTATTTATTAACACTTATTACTCACATATATGCTTTACTTTACTGTAGTAGGAGTGAGCAATATGGAGTTTGTTTTATAATATTGGTACCAGCAGGCCTTTTGATGATCATGATGAACTTTTTTCTATGTAATTAAAACAACAGTCTGCGATCTAAACATATAGTCTATATAACAGATTTCATTACCTTTTTAAAAAAAACATTAGAGCTCGACCGATATATCGGACGACGTTGAGCTAATTGCGTTTAATTGGCATCGGCATATAAGATATGAGAATTAAAAAAGAAAGATAGAGTCAGACCTTCACTCATGTCATGGGTGTTGCATAGTTTGTGCCTTACCACAAAAACCAGAGAACAAAACAATCAGCTGACTGGAGTTTACCAGAGCTTACAGGCACTCATCACTTTATTATATAATATTCTCTAAAATCACGTAATGCTACAGCAGCTAAAGTAGCCACAAAGCTAATGCTGTGTTTATCAGTGGAGGAGCGAACGTTAATGAGCTGTTAAACATATAGTTTCTGGTGTATTCTAAATATATCTGTGGGCTTGGGAATTATTTAGTCTCAAAGGCACTTTATAGTGATAAAAACCAAGGTACGAGGTTACGGTAAACAATATCTGAAAGTCCTCTTCTGCACAAAGGTTTTTCAGTTAAAAAATGCCCAAAAGTCAGTAAATGTTTTCACATTTTTGGGCATTTTTTAACTGAAAAACCTTTGTGCAGAAGAGGACTTTCAGATATTGTTTACCGTAACCTCATGTGTTTCGTTCACTTTTGGCGTCATGCACCTGGAACGCTTCGAGGTCTGAAATAATTTCCAGGTTCCGAGGAGTCTGAAACGCAGCATCAGATCACAGTACGTCCGAAGCGCGAGTATAACCTCTGTCAAGCTTGTCAAGATCCTTATTTTAGAATGAAGCTTTAAAAAAGGTCAACTAGTGACGGCATTTCACCCGACTCATGGAGCAAATGTTAGCTTCACCTGATAATGTCTGTTAGCGACAGTTAGAAAATCTTCAGAATCTGCTTTTGTCTGTCTGAAACTACCCATTCTTCTAAAAAATGGCTATTGAATTTGAATATTCTGCGGTAAGTCCCTAAAAAAACATCTGCAGCACATTCCAAACTGTAAAATCAACCAAAGGAAAGAGCCCTAATAACAATTTGTCTGTGAATGTTGAGATAAACATCTGTAAATATGAGGCTTCGGTAGCATAAACACAACAGCTGCAGGTTTAATCCCGACTCATCATAAATCCCCTTCGAACTAACAAACTGTTCAACAGGAACTCCAAAGGTTTTCTTAAATTCTTTATTATTTATTATTATTATTTTTTTTTACATGAAGCACCATTGGTCGGTTTGAAGAACCACAGACAGTGATCTCTACATCCAGACAGACAGACGGTGACACAGACTGAAACTCAAAGACACATTTCAGACCTTTTAAGGCTCAAACTGGGACCCGAGCCGTTCTGCAGCCACTCCAGCTATGTGTTTACATTAGTGAGATAAATCAGACGCTAACAAGAAACAAGAAACTACACATTAACCCGACCAGACACTACTCTGAACAAAGATCTGTCCTCTCACAGCCTTTGTTTCACAGCAGCAGCTCGAGTTCAGTTTGATCCTTCACACGATTATTAAAGGAAAAATTCTGGGTCTCGTTTTCAAGGTTTGGTCCGTCAGGGGAAATAAGACTTTATTGTTGTGAGGACGGTTTTTAACCCTGTAACTCCAAGCGTATCTCATATGATACGTGAGTTTTAGAGACCTCTACATCATAAGTGTGATATATTTCCACAAAAAAAACCTGACGCATACAATCAGACACCTTCAACGCACAGATAATACCACCAGGGGGCCGACAGTCGCCCACCATAGGTCCTTCAGTTTGAGACCGCCAAAATGGAGGTTGTCAATCAGGGACCTACAGGTGGTTTTGCAAGGAAACTTTTGCCAATTGTAAAGGTGAGAAAAACATTTAAATTGTTTTTTTTTTTTTTACTGGATTGAAGTGATGTTAAGTTACTTAATATTTCTCAACTTATTTTATAGTAAAATTGTGTCGTATCAAATTAGACACAGCAGGTATATAAGGTAATTTATTTATACATCTGTAACTCATAGTTTTATTGGATATCCTTCATTATGCATTTCATTGAGCTATAGTCTTTTAATTATTTAAGTAAAGTAATTAAAGGCATAATTGATTATGTGTGGCAATTCAAATGACATGGAGCAGTTAGGGGATGATGATGATAAAAGGCTTAAAACATGTTGTGTCCTGCATGTTTTTTGTTGTTTTAGAAAAAAATGATGTTGGCAAAACATTGCAATAAAGTCTGAATGGATCAAATATGATACAAAACAAAACTCGTACATACAAAAGGCTATTCAAATCTGTTTAAATTTGGTATAAAAAAAACAAATTTTCTGGCAATTTTTTGATGGTTCAGGCTTTATTAAACGTCCAGGGTTAGAGCGTAACCCTCAGCCAGGGACTCTAGTGTTTTTTAGAGTATTAGACCTGAAGGGAGTTAAAAGTTCCTGCTTGTGATAATATTTGTGATTTGCTTTTATTTGTACACAGTAGAAAGAGGCAGGAAGCATCGAGAGTACCAGGCAATAAAAGCAGAGGCGGGGTGAAGTCAGGGACGGTTTCGCTCGGCAGTAACTAGTTCGTACGACGGGTTGCCCAATCGCTGCTGCAGACAAATGAGTTTGGAGTTGTTATGAACGTGGGTGTGAACGTCAGATCGACCTCGCTAACCCGACGCCAGAATGATTGAGTGTTCCAAACAGCTACTGTCCCTTGTCGAGCCTAAAGTCCTACACTTCACAAAAATGAAACGCTAACACGCTGTACACGTTTTCAGTCTTTGGGTCCGTTAGATTTGTCACCAGGACATCCCAAGATGTAATTTTAGGCTTCTGGTTCTCTGACTCCAGCTGTAAAGTTACTAAAGTTACCAGTGCTGCCCTCTTCCACAGCTGAGACCAAAACTCTGAAAGTAAGATGTGGGCATGTCTGGAAGCAGGACTCACCTAGAAAGTGGCTGAATTGCAAACAGTTATTTGTGAATACTGGAGCTGATGATCACGAGATAAGTTTCATATCTTCAAAAAACTAACTGAAATGAGCACACACAGAAAAAGAAAATTGTCAAAGTTTTGCAGTTGCATTTGAAATTGACCTGAAAGCTTCAGGTTCAGTCCTGTTTTTGTCTTTCAGCAGTCGGATGCGAGTCAAATCTATCTTTACTGCAGCTGATGTGATGTTAAACAGCTTCGTCTCTGATTAGCGTCCGTCATGTTTAAAGCAACATTGTGTAGTCATTTTTATTCTAAACTCAAAGCTTTACAATCATTTTGATGGTACTCTGTTTGTGAATGGCGTCTCTGTTATTACCGCTCAGGGCTCGCTGCGCTATGAAACATTGGAGTCACTTATCACGATAACAGAGGAATACTTTACGGCGTCAACATGACTCATCAGCAAGCTATAAGAAGCAGCAAAAATATATATCCAGGGGTGGAAATTAACTTTTTGGCTCACCTGCCAAGAGGACTGGTAGATGATGTATTGACACGTAACTGGCTTTATCTACAGAGCGGCAAATTACACTCTGAAACAGTCAGGGCGCCAAATCACATACAAAAAACTAATGCTACAAAATGTTGCTTTAAATCAACGTCCAGCAGAAACAAAACAACAGACTCTTCCTCGTGACCCAAAAGCTCTTTAATCAGCAGCTGCTGCGTTTCGGAACAGTTGGAACTTTCCCTGAAGGCGTTTAAGCCAGAAACTAGTTAGCAGTTGAACTGTTCCAGAACAACCTCAGCTGTGAATAAAGCGACGAAGATGCGTGTTTTCTGAGGTGTTGCTGATAGAAGTTTGCTGTACAGAGCTGTTTTCTTCCAACCAATCCGGGCGACATCCTTCCTCATCGTCTCTCGGTCAGACAGAGGTTCTCGCACTCCTCTTCCGTCTTGAAGCGGTTGCCGTTGCCGCCGCAGCCGCCGTACCAGAACCGAGAACATTCATTCTGTTTGGTGTCGAAGAACCACATCATGGTGTAGTTCTGGCAGCTGCCCTGGTCCTGGCTGAGGAAACAGGTGTCTGTGAAGAGAGAGAGAGGTTATGGTTTACAAGAAACTTCACCCCACAGCCTCCTGATATGAAGCATTTCAGATTCATGCCGGTGATGAAGTCCTCTGAATTTAAGGCATTTCGCCTCTTTTATCCAATCAGCTACTGATTTTGTACATTTTCCTTTCCAACCCTCAAAGCAGCCATTGGTTTCTGTCCGTCTCTTTGAAAACCAGCTTCCAGAAACATCCGTAAACATCTGTTTCATTGTTCAGTACAGTTACTAACACTATAGACCGATCTAAAATAGCTTTGTGAAACCGGCATTAGAGGTGGGAAAGTTTACCAAATGAACCAGTCAGTCTTCATCCCTGAACTCTTTTTAAAAGTTTTTCTAGTTTTCCACCTTGTCTTACTGTATTGCGCCAAACTGTAATGGGCTCGTTGCTGCCCCCCCGAGGCCAGAGGGCCAAAAACACCCACTGGTACTTGACTGTAAGGAAAGCCAAGTGAGCTCATTCCTCAATCGACACAAAGCTGAGTTATGCTTTGTCAGAAGAGTTTTAAACAGCGCTAGAAAAAGACTTCAGTGATGAATGGTCCGCAGACGCTGCTGTAGGATCAACCAATAATTACCTTTTTAGTTGCAATAGTGTACAAATAAAGCTTCATTTCCTTCCACTGCTGCAGAATAACTTGAAGTTGCTGAAACAGTCTCCCAGATTTGTTGCTGCACCAGTACACTGGCTAAAACCACTTGTTATCAGAGTTAATGCTAATAAATAACTAATCTAGGTTATTTTATAGGTTAGATTATTCCAACACCACATGAACATGGGGGAAGACTAACTGCTGCACGTTTCCTGACCTCCAGTAGAGAGCAGAGCTCTTCATGGTTAAAGGTTTAATGCATGTTGATTATTAAAAAGATTGAAATGCTCATCAGGACTGTAAATGAGCTAAAATAGGCTAAACCCCCCCCCGTTAAGAAACAACATCCCTCCTTCATTTGCAGGTTCTTCATCAAACACAGTACTCAACACGAACACAACAGGTGAAATGATCAGAGTGTTTTGTTTTTTACCTTTGGAAACAAAGCTGGCGAGCTCCGGCCTCGGCAGGATGTTTGGATCTGAGAGAGACGACAGAGTCAGCCAGAAGCTACAGGTGTTTGATCAACATCAGAACATTTAGAGCAGGCGGAGCTGCTGCTTCCTGAGGTTTCATAAAAACTGTTATCAGTTCACACCTACATAAGTTAAATATCCGGCACTTCTGTAATGTGGAGTGGAACGAGATCTGCAGCCTCTGAGGGGATTTAGACTTTTAGTTTTGTTACTGTACTCAGAGTTGTGATTACAAGAATAGTAAAAATGGAACATATCTGTGTAGAGGTGTGTTTTGATTCTTAAGTTATACACCACTGGTTTTAACTCCAGTCCAGACCACTCCAGGTTTCTAGTTCTTTTGTAAACATTGGTTTAGATCCTGTCACAAAAAACTTTTACCAAAGTTACCAAAACAGACATTTTCAGATTTAAAATGAAAAATTAAATGAAGGAGTTTTGTTCATTATTTCATTGCAGGATCAACCGATGACCAGCTGCTCCGTCTGCCTTCATTAATATAATATATATAATATAGTACAGGTAACGCTTCTGTATTAACAGGCTGCTCCAAGGTGTTTACTGCAGAAATGTGTTTCAAGGCTTCATTTCCTTCCACTGCTTGAAGTAGTTAACTCATTATTTCATCCCTGAAAATTGTTTATCTCTGGAGTTTACAGTATTCCTCAGTTTTGCTGACTTTGTCTTTACCTTCTTTAGTTATTCTGGAGCAGTGGAAGGAAATGAAACATGTCTACAGTAAGCTCCTTGGAACAGCCTGTTAATACACCCTCAGAAGCTTTCTGTGGACTATATTATAAACTCACTTTCAACTGCTTTCATTTTCATGTGTAAATATTTGTATGAACATAAAAAGATTCTACAACTAAGACATAAGATACATTAAGTTTCACAGACAACAGAAATTGAAAGATGTGTCCCTGAACAGAGGGAGGTCAAAATCAAAAGTACCAGTCAGTATCTGGTGTGGCCTCCAGCTGCAGAAAGTACTGCAGTGCATCTCCTCCTCAGCTGCACCAGATTTGCCAGTTCTTGCAGTGAGATGTTATCCCACTCTTCCATCAAGGCACATGGAAGTTCCCGGACATTTCTGCCGCAGCGTTAGCCTGTTGCGGACAGCCTGAGCGCTGATGGAGGGACTGTGCGCTCCCGGTGTAACTCGGGCAGTTGTTATTCCTGTCCCTGTCTTGCAGAGGTGACGTTCTGATGGACTGATCCTGTGCAGCTGTTGTTACACAGCGAGGACGATCAGCTGTCCTTCCTGTCGCCCTGTAGCGCCGTCTCAGGCGTCTCACAGTACGGATATTGTAATTTATTGCCCTGGCCACATTTGCAGTCCTCACGCCTCCTTGCGTTCATGCAGATGAGCAGGGACCCTGGGAGTCGTTCTTTTGGTGTTCTTCAGAATCAGTAGAAAAGTTTTTATAACTGTGACCTTAATTGGCTACTGTCTGCACGCCGTTAGTGTCTTACATTGAGTGACTGTTTTTGGTTCATTGAATAAGCATGAAAATTATTGTTTACCACCTTTACGATAAAGTTCTGCAGTTATTTGGATGTTTACAGAATTATCTTTGAAAAACAGTGTCCTGAAAGTGTCCTTTTTTTGCTGAGTTTATATACACACACACACACACACACATATATATATGTGTATACATACTACAGGGAAATAATGAACAAAACTCCTTCATTTAATTGTAAATTTTAGATCTGAAAATGTCTGTTTTGTTGACGTAAACGTTTTTAACTTTGCTGCTTACTTTGGTACCATTTAAGGTTTTTCACTGGACTTAAAATGCTCAAATTAACATAAGAAGAAGAAGAAGAGAAGAGCACTACAAACAGACAGTATATTAAACTTATAAGACAACATTAAAAAGAAGAGACGCTGTTAATATCAAACATTCACAGTCCACAGAGACAGAGTCGGGACTTACTATGGCCACACGTCCGGAAACATTCATTTTCCGTTTTAAAGCGGTTGGCGTTACCGCCGCAACCGCCGTACCAGAAGGGCGAGCATGCACCGATGGCTGTGTCAAAGAACCACGCTTGGACATAGTCGTGACACGGGATACCAGTATCAGACTCCAGCTGACACTGGGCTGAAAGCAGAACACACACATTTACTACAAACACTAAGAACAGTCCTCCAGAGCAGCAGCTTCACTTCACACCCCGCCCACTGGCAGCGCGTGTGTCAGTCCGATCGTAACACCTTAAACTGAATTAACCGTTAATTTGAGACGCTGTAAGGTGGAACTGTGAAGAGCTGCTGCTGCTGCTGCAGGAGAACACATGCGGATGCACGAATCATTCCACACAAACACATCCAGGTTTTAGTTCAATCACAGAGTGTGGTGTGTAACGAAGAGGCGGTGTTAATAACAAATAAAACAGGTGACATATAACACATAACAGAGAAGTGGTCAACAGTCCGTGCAGTTAAATACAAAGCGTGCATTCAGCTAACAGGATGTAACTCGCTCTCTGTGGGCGAGAAAAACTAAAGCCTGCAGGTTTGAGGCATCAAACCTTTTTGCCCTGCTGGTGTCTCCAGTGTATACAGCGCATTGATATCGTGGGCAGAAATGAACAATCCAGCCTTTAGGGGGCACTCTGTGGTGCTGAAGCAGTGCAAAGGCCATTTCTATTAGTTCTTTCTATTTGTTTGTCATATAAGCAACATACTAGTACATGTACGAACACGACTGCACTTGCATCGAGTCACTGGATTAGAGGCCTTTAGTTATTTTTCTTTACAACACGTGAAAAAACATTCTGCATCAGTTTTATTAAATGTGCAGCGTTGGGGTGTCTTCAGGTCACAAACTAAACTAAATGAAACTGTCCACGTGTTTGCTAGAATCTGGCTGGAATATGTATTATTTTAGAGTCGACCTATGAGCAGTGAAGCCAGCTGTGTGTGTGTGTGTGTGTGTGTGTGGGCTACCGTTGAGTTTCACTCCTGAGGCGAATGTTTGGCCGTCTCCTCTGGACAGCGTGTCGATGATGTCCAGCTGGCCGGTCTGAGTCTGTCCTCCTGTCTGCTCCTCAAACCTCTCCTCTTCCTCCTCTGCAACCTCCCAAAGCACAGCCGGCCCCTGACTGGACACACGGCCGCCAAAACAAAGATTCATAAGTTTCCTTCACTCATTTCATTTGTTTCCTCCTTATACAGAACTCTGAGGCTGCAACTGTTTCCAGAAACAAAATACTGCTCAATTCCTATCGTAGTGTCTCAGAGCTAAAGGTGTTCGACATTTAGTTTACTAAAATACTTGGCTATGGAGGTGCAGCAGGGTATTTATTAAATCAACTAATCATTTCGGCTCTTCAGCACGAGCTATGTTTATAACTATTATCATGGTAGTAGGTAATTCTGCAGGCGGTGTGAGTTACCCGTTCACAAACGTTTGTTGTCCTCCATCTTGTCCTGTCAGCTGCTCACAGGTCCGTGTTAAAGAAGGAGGAGGATACGCGTTCATTCCCTCTGAAATAAGCACAGATTCACATTCATTCATTCATGCAGTGATGGACAAATTATTCCGATCCTTAAAGGGCAACTTCTGTATTTTCAACCAGTTTCCCCATGTTTTTGGTCCAGTCAAAGTACGTCCACTATAAGTGTCTGACAACATTACAGAAAGGATCCCTACAGAAAGAAACCTTTTTTTTTTTTAAAAGAGGGAGATCCTTTTTGTTGAAACAGAAACGGTCGATATTTCACTCTCATAAAAACCCCTTAATAAAAAAGTAATTTTACCCTCGCAGGAGAGGGGAGTTGCTGGTCTACCGCTGCCTCGGTCGGTCGGTTAGTTTGTGTTATTGTCTGACTTTGCAGTTTTTGTTTGTTTGTGTTATTATGTAAATTTGATGTTTTAAAGGGTTAAAAACACCAAAGTCACACAATAACACACAATAACACAAATTAACGGACAGAGGCAGCGGTAGACCAGAGAGGTAAAATTATTATTTTTGTCAAAGGAGTCTGGTGGCTTTTATGAGAGCGATACAGTGACTGTTTCTGACTAAACAAAAAGGATCTTCCTCTTTAAAAAAGGTCTGTCCCTTTAGAGATCCTTTCAATAATGTTGTCAGACAGCTGTAATAATAATCTGAGCCTGTCAGCGGCAAAAACAAGTTCTTTAGTGGACGCACTTCAACGGGGCGCAATTACCAACACGGATAACGTTGCAGCCCTGATTCACTGTTGCCGACTGCAGCATGCAGTACCGAAGTTAACCTGTAACTTCAACTACTGCGGGACAAGTAAAAGTCCTGTATTCAAAATATTAAGTTCAAATGTTTTGTGTCAAGCACACTTAAAGTATCAAAAGTAAAAGTTCTCATGAGGCAGAAAATTATTCTAAGTTATATTATCGGATTCTTATTATCATTATTACAGATGGAATAATAAGCCGTCATCATTTATAGGCTGATTCTATGTTTTGTTTTAAAACTTTTTTATGACCTTTCTGACATGTGAAATGGAGATAAGCTGAAGACAAACTGATGTAATTCGCTCTAAAGGTCTCAGCTGTGTGTTTGAGTCTGGTCTTACTGTTGAGGGCGGAGAGGAAGACTCTGAAGAAGCGCTGGGCGTAGCCCTGCTCGTCGGCCTTCAGTCTGCCGACGTGGATCAGGTGCTGCTGTTCAGGCAGACTGGCCAGCTCCTCCACCTGCGTCTGGTTGTAGCGATCACTGATAGTCACCACAAACAGCGCCACCCCCTCACACTTGGCCTTCTGGGAGATGTAGCGCAGCTTGGCCCGGTCCTCGTAAGCCGTCTTGGTGCCCACCACAGTCAGCATCGCCCTCCTCCTCCGGGGCGTGGTGGCCTTCAGCAGCACCTCCTGCAGGCAGAACTCCAGCGTCTGTCCCAGCGCAGGGGAGCCGCTCTGCTGCTGCATGTTCTTGATCTGCTTCTTCATCACGTTGGCGTTCTGGTAGTCCAGCAGGCCAAACTCCGGCTTCAGAGTGCGGCTGCCGCTCTGCTGGACTACAGCCACCCGGGCCTGGTTGCCGGCCCTGCGTGGCTGCGGGCTCACGACCAGCTGCTCCACCACAGAGCCCAGCAGCTGCTGGACGCCGGCGTACTCATCAGCCTTAATCTCCCTGGAGTCGTCCACCACCATGACCAGGTCCACGTCGACCTCCTGAGGCCTCGGGACATCCTGGATGAAGGCGCACTGCTCTGAACGTTGGCAGGGGTCTGAAGAAACAAGAGACAGTTCTCTATCTATGGTTATTTTAACCACAAACTAATGTAGTTAGCTTGTTCTATGCTAACTCTTACCACTGTAGATAGTAAATTAATTAGCCAAGCATGCTAACATTTGTTGCTAACTGTTTAATCCAGTCTTTCCACTTTAGCTCAGTGGTTCTCAAGGTGAACCACTTTGAGAACCACTGCTTTAGCTTCTGTTTTTGGTTACGGAAAGAGTTAACAAAGACAGCACCCTCCAAACTCCACAGAGTACAAACAAAGACTCAAGTTATCAATGTTTTGAAAGATGATATAATCGCTTTTAAGTTCCAAATAATTCCTTCGACTGCGTTTCAACAACTTAAAAAAACCTTTTTTTGGACAGAATGATTTAAATAAATTTGAATCCAAGCACAAGCCTCAACGCTTACCGTAACAGATCGCACAGTTCCTGACCTTCCTCAGGTCGGCGGCCATGTCCCTCCCCAGCACTGTGAAGATGGCGTTCCCCGAGTCGTCAGTCTGAGGAGAAACAGCAGCTCTCGTTAATCACAGTGCTGGTTAGATGACACGGAGCCACGTGATTAAAAGCAAATACATACATCAGACTCCGTTTTTCTACTGAAATCATGATTAGTATCGGTTTTCAGTCACGTCTGCAGGTTCTTGCTGCTGAAGACAAATAGACAAATGTCTTGGCAGCAGTGGATGAGCTCTTAACCAAAAGGGAGATGGCGTTTAGGAGGGAGTTGGAATGAAGTCATGTGTTCTAGAGCCAAACTAGAAAACCTCCGTCTTGGCAGGAGAGGGAGCTGAGATGCTGAGCGTTGGTGTCGGGGCTGTCCGGCTCTTCTGGCGTTGTTTGTAGTGTTGAAGCATTAACGCTGATCTGTGTCTGTTTGTCAGAGTCGCGATGAGGTCTGAAGAGCTGTGTTTAGTTCTACAGTCATCACACAGAGCTGGATCACTCTGATCACACCTGAAACACCCCGATCCAGATGTTCAGAGAGCTGAGGTCAAGTGGGAAGTGAGTTTATTAGTTTGACCTATTATAGAGGTGGTATTCTGCTTTTCCCCTCTCCTTTATTGAGTTATATACTTTTTTTGTGCATGTAACAGGTTTGCAAAGTGAAAAAGTCCAAAGGGAGTTCCCATCTCCCACAGAAAACTCTACTCTGCCTGAAAACAGCTCGTTTATAGTCCAGCCGCTTCCCTTTCATCTCTGTGACGTCACAGTCCACCATGACAGCAGATATTTGACTATTAAAAAAGAAAGAGTCAGAGTCCTCTGTTCAAAACACAGCAGCACCACAGAACAAAACGTCAGCTGTCGATTTATGCTACCTATTGAGATGTGCAACTTTCCACACCCCTAAATCTGTGCAACCTTGCTGTTTTGCGGGCATGCTGTCGAGACAGCGGCTGATTGTCAGCAATATAAAAAAAATAAAATCATTATCTAATCAAAAACAGAAGATGTCATAATACTGTGAGAGTTATAACTTTATGGGATTGGAAAAGGGAACGTATAAGGTAGCATTTTTTCCCGACAAGGCAGCATAAATCGACAGAACACCGGCTCTGCTGGCTCCTGTTAGCTCTCACACTCAGTGTTCCTGGTGAGTTGGTCTTTTGTCACGTCAATTACGTGACTTAAATAACAATAAAAATGTCCCTCATCACTTTTCCTCCTCGGAGACCAGACTTGCTAACCCTCCCGTTTTTCACTGCCCTCTCCAGGCTCAACAGTGTTTAATGTTACGGTAACCTGGAGTTGGAGGCTACGCTGCTGACAGACGTGAATGTAGAGTTATTTCTGAAACAGTTGGGCAGTTCGAGCGACCTGTCTTCTCATTTCTATCTCATTTATTATTTCTAAATATTTTCCAACCGCCAACAGCAGCTAACACGCTCCCTGTTGCTAAATTAGCCACAAAGCTAATGCCGCGTTTATCAGTGCTAGCGCTAACGTTAAAGAGAGGCAGACTTGTGAATAAACGTGAGAATGTAGTCATGAAATATGAGATTAATTCAAGGACAGCGTTTCCTATGCGTCACTGTTTCGCAGAGCCAGAAGGTGGTTAGGAAATTGTTTCTGTAGTTTTGGATAGAATTAACAGAGTGGAGATGATAAACGAGATGTAGACAGTAGTAGTAGTGTAGTATAGTACATATATACATTTTTGGCCATCTAGGAGAACCCTGTTTATCATTATTATGAAAACAATGACATGAGAGATGCTATATTATAATTTTTAGTAGTAGTACTATATTGGTATTTTTTATAGTTTCTGTACAATATTTAATCTTTATTAGTAATAGTACTCTATAATTTTTAATAAATCAGATATTTAAAAAATGTTTTCTGTAGTTTTATACATGTTATACATTATTAATATCTTTTTTGTTCAAAGTACTATTTCTAACAATAAATGTTTACTGCATTATGTCATGGTAGGTTCAACTTAAGAAAGATTAGGGATAATCTTTGTTGATGTTATGCGTTTTTTTTTATAACGGGGAAAAAACAATATTGGCCGATATATCGGATATTAAAATCCTCAAATATCGAATTGTATCGGACTTAAAATCTGATCAGAAAAGACAAACGGCTGCTGACAAATGAAACCTACCTCCATCGCTCGACTAATAGCAGGAGCGTTGGTCAGAGAGATCACTGCCGGGACGATGTTGAGGCCGCGGTACTCCATCATGGCCGTGACAATGTCCTCAGCATCCTGTGTAGGCCCGCTGGAAAAGAAGACGGCCACCTTCCTCATCAACACGCCAGAACGTGTACGTTTGAAGAGGTTCTGACCCACAAAGCGCATGGCGGCCCCCAGATTACGCCTGTTGGTCGTCCTCTCCAGGGCGATGTTCTTCACAGCTTCGATCAGCTGGTTCTTGCGCTGGTAGTCCTGGAAGCGGATCAGGTACTTGGTGTAGGCGTTGTAAGCCACCACAGCGACGCGAGCGCCCGTCGGACAGTTGCTCTCGGCGATGGTGATGTCCTCCAGCAGGGAGAGGAGGGCGGCGCGCTGCCTCTCGAAGGCTGCGGGGGACACTTCGGCGGACATGTCCAGAGCGAACACCAGCTCGGTGGGGTAGGCCGGGCAGGCTGATCGACCTGAAAACCAACAAAGGAGAGTTCATGTTGAGTACAGCAGAAAGAAAGTAAAACTAAGAGAGCGAGGTCACCAGGCTCCAACGGTTTGATACCAACATTTGGTCAAGTTCAATAAAAACTAGGGACGGGTATCGCTACTCGATACGTTAAAGGCAGCGACCGAAACAGCCCGGTATCAGGTAGAATCGAAACGTCTCCAGTCAAACCAGAACTTCAATCGATACTTTTAGTTACCAGATTATGTCAAAAAATGACTATTTGTATTGTATTGCATTGTACATATATGTATTTGTTATAGTTTTTGCTTGCAGCCAAACACGCAAGCAACGCACCGAAAGAAAGAGAAGAGCTCGCCTCTTTTTCCGGATGTGCCTGCACCAGAAAACTGTATTTAAAAGGCCTGAACGCGCTCAGTCCACGCTGATTTTAACCAACTTCGGCTGCGTCTCAGTTCGTCACTGTTGCAGGTTTATCAGCACAAGCTCGGCTTTCTGTTGGTTTCATCTTCTTTCATTTTCTACTTGTGACTGTCCAGAGGTTTGTGACTCACCACTAAAGGGAAAAGGTTTCACTTCAGCTTATTGATCGAAAGTTAACAAAATAATTTTCCGTTGTTTACTTTCAACACACTTCTCAAAAAATTACCCACAACTTATTTGTTCACTAAACTATTTCACTCCTCTCATCCAAATATAAATATTCCCAAGCTGAAGTCTCTCCCTGTATAATACTGTCATGGAGGATGAACTAATGAGGATGAGGAGGATCTGATACATTTTCCCAAAACTTTTTTATGTAGCAGTTATTTGAAACAAAAAATTAATCACCTTGCTTGTCCATTACAATAAAAATAAACAATAGGCTACCAATCAACTACTTCGGCTTCAACAGGTGGCGTTTTATGCAAGGTATTGAATGAAGTACTCTGTTGGTATCAGTATCACTTTAAGGGTACTGGTATTGTAAAACACCCATCACTGATAAAATAAAAACAAAACACTACCAGTCAAAAGTTTGGAGAAATGGCCCAAACACTGTATTAGTTCTGCAGGTATGTGGTCGTAAAGTGTTGGACACATCAACATGTTGACCTGATGATGGCGCTAGAGGAAAAGTCCAAGGATCAAGTTATTACAGTTCATCCTGAGGGAAACATGTCACCAGCTGCTGAGATAAAGAGAGGACCGACAGCCCTTCATAGAGCCACTAGCATAAATATACAGTGGGTACGGAAAGTATTCAGACCCCTTTAAATTTTTCACTCTTTGTTTCATTGCAGCCATTTTCCAAAAATCAAAAAAGTTCATTTTATTTCTCAGTAATGTACACTCAGCACCCCATCTTGACAGAAAAAAACAGAAATGCAGAAATTTTTGCAAATTTATTAAAAAAGAAAAACTGAAATATCACATGGTCATAAGTATTCAGACCCTTTGCTCAGTATTTAGTAGAAGCACCCTTTTGAGTCGTTTTGGGAAAGATGCAACAAGTTTTTCACATCTGGATTTGGGTATCCTCTGCCATTCCTCCTTGCAGATCCTCTCCAGTTCTGTCAGGTTGGATGGTAAACGTTGGTGGACAGCCATTTTCAGGTCTCTCCAGAGATGCTCAATTGGGTTTAAGTCAGGGCTCTGGCTGGGCCATTCAAGAACAGCCACGGAGTTGTTGTGAAGCCACTCCTTCGTTATTTTAGCGGTGCGCTTAGGGTCCTTGTCTTGTTGGAAGGTAAACCTTCGGCCCAGTCTGAGGTCCAGAGCACTCTGGAAAAGGTTTTCATCCAGGATATCCCTGTACTTGGCCGCATTCATCTTTCCCTCGATTGCAACCAGTCGTCCTGTCCCTGCAGCTGAAAAACACCCCCACAGCATGATGCTGCCACCACCATGCTTCACTGTTGAGACTGTATTGGACAGGTGATGAGCAGTGCCTGGTGTTCTCCACACATACCGCTTAGAATTAAGGCCAAAAAGTTCTATCTTGGTCTCATCAGACCAGAGGATCTTATTTATCACCATCTTGGAGTCCTTCAGGTGTTTTTTAGCAAACTCCATGTGGGCTTTCATGTGTCTTGCACTGAGGAGAGGCTTCCGTCGGGCCACTCTGCCATAAAGCCCCGACTGGTGGATTGCTGCAGTGATGGTTGACTTACTACAACTTTCTCCCATCTCCCGACTGCATCTCTGGAGCTCAGCCACAGTGACCTTTGGGTTCTTCTTTACCTCTCTCACCAAGGCTCTTCTCCCCCGATAGCTCAGTTTGGCCGGACGGCCAGCTCTAGGAAGGGTTCTGGTCGTCCCAAACGTCTTCCATTTGAGGATTATGGAGGCCACTGTGCTCTTAGGAACCTTAAGTGCAGCAGAAATTTTTTTGTAACCTTGGCCAGATCTGTGCCTTGCCACAATTCTGTCTCTGAGCTCTTCAGGCAGTTCCTTTGACCTCATGATTCTCATTTGCTCTGACATGCACTGTGAGCTGTAAGGTCTTATATAGACAGGTGTGTGGCTTTCCTAATCAAGTCCAATCAGTATAATCAAACACAGCTGGACTCAAATGAAGGTGTAGAACCATCTCAAGGATGATCAGAAGAAATAGACAGCACCTGAGTTAAATATGAGTGTCACGGCAAAGGGTCTGAATACTTATGACCATGTGATATTTCAGGTTTTCTTTTTTAATAAATTTGCAAAAATTTCTACATTTCTGTTTTTTTCTGTCAAGATGGGGTGCTGAGTGTACATTACTGAGAAATAAAATGAACTTTTTTGATTTTTGGAAAATGGCTGCAATGAAACAAAGAGTGAAAGATTTAAAGGGGTCTGAATACTTTCCGTACCCACTGTACATATGTACTGTCTATAAACTATCGCAGTCCTTCGTCCAACATCAACACGCGTTGATGCCAGAGAAACCAAAGAGGTGTGATGAGAGTTCTGTCTTCTTGGAGATGATCTCAATCTGCAGCAGAAGTTTTGTTCTGTACTCACCACACAGGTCTGACTGTTCAAATGGAGATACGTACCGATGGAACACGCTGCGTGGAGGAAAAGAATATATAAGTCAGGGTCGAAATGCAGTTAAGAAACAATTAATAATGTCCTCTTCCAACTGTCCTATTTCTGAAACAAATAATTGCAGGTGAGCCTGTAAAAAAGCTGCGTACCACAGTTGTCTCTGATGTAGGTGACCAGCTGGCACTCCTGAGGAAACACAAGACGTCACGTATTAATGCTGAGAAAAGGATCTGATGTTTGCCTTAAGGTTTGCAGGTCAGGTTAAGTTTAAGGTGGACTCACAGTCATGCCTCTGCCCCCAGGAGGACCTCTGCGACCCTGGAAAGAGTAGAAGAAGAGACAACATTAACCTCATCAGTTATGATTCTCAACCGAGCTGAGCGCAACACGTGCGGCACTTAAGGTGGTTACACCGGTTTGTGGAAATGTCCTCGTTAAGGTGGTATTGTATACGAAAACAAGATGTAAGCAGGGCTGCAGCCAGCTGTTCTTCTCATTATTATGTCCAAATTTACCGAACTGATTCATCACGTAGTCTTTAAAATGGCAGACTATGGTGGAAAAGTGCCCGTTATAGTTTCCTAGAGCAAGAGTCAAAGTCGTCATACGCATTATTACATCGCAACGACAATCCAAAACCCCAAAATATTGTATTCACTGATATGAATGACAAAGAAAAGCATTACATCCTCACACTCGAGAATCTGGAACCAGCAAAGGTGCGACATGTTTGCTTAAATTATTATTATTTGATTATCAAAAAACAGAACTTTGTCAATCAACGAATCGTTGCAGCCGAAGTTAAGGCTGTATGTTAAAGTCTCGGGTTTAAGGTGGTCTGGAGTCACTCACTCTGTGTCCTGGATGTCCCGGGTCTCCCGACACGCCCGATTCTCCCGAATTGCCCGAGTTCCCCTGCGTCCGTCAGACCGGAAACACAAGTCAGCGATGAAGCAGAAACACTGTTAAAAATCTAAAACCAAAGATGTGTCAGCGCTCACCCCTCGGCCTCGGTTCCCTTTACGTCCTGGATATCCTTTGGGTCCCTGCAGGCCGTCCTCTCCCTGAACACAACAACAATCATTCAGCCTTTATCACACAGGAAACTCTCATAGGTTGCCTCTGTATTATCTTTGAATATCCAAACCTTATTGCTTACACAAACAGTCAGCCTTCAGTATTTCCACAGAAGATGAATGATTCAGAGAATAAATAACAGTTTTTTATCTTTGGAGGCCCAAAAGAATTTGGGAATGCATAACATAAATTCATGATTCCTCCCACTGGACATGTAATTCAGTTTCTTCACCTTAAACATGAGTCCTAAGAGACTTAAATCATGCGTCTCCATCCGTTCAGCTTTGTATCATGCTCTTTTCTGAACATTGTTTTGTGTCTCAAGTAACAGCAAAGGGCCGTGAAGACCAGGATCCAGATCTTCTTTACCAAAGCCGGGAAACTGTTCTGCAGAACGTGCAGCATTGTGGTCGAAGCATAAAGGAAATCATCAAACATTTTGCCGCCGCGAAACATACAGAGAGAATGGCAGAAACACATGGAGGACGTCAGACGAGACACTGAGACACAGGCTGCTGAATCAGTGTGAGGAAATGCAGGTTTAGGCCTGCCAAGTCCTGGAGGGACCGTTTAATGATTCAACTACAATTCTAAAATAAAAAAATAAAAAATCACATCTACCTTTGCAGTTTTCAATTATTCCCACATTTCATCGCTAAAACACCCATAAACATCACAATTTTTTTTAGAAAAGCTGTTGTAAAATTTTAACGCCACAACAATCGCTAAAAAGACCCGCGAAGTCCTGGTGGGGTCGAGAAGCAACTGCAGATAATTACTGAATGAAAAGAGTGTCAGTGATTTCTTTCCTTCTGGTTGCTTCTCCTGTTGTCAGTCTGAGGCCCCGTCCACACTGGTGCGTTTTCGAATTAAAACGGAGACCTTTTGCTACGTTTGCGCCTCCCGTCCAGACTAAAATGGCAAAAACAATTCAACGCTTCAAAACTCCGGAGGGCGTTTTAGTGAAGACGGGCAAAAACGGAGGACAAGCAGAGACAAATATGATGCTACTGACCGGGTTTTTGACGTGGTATTTCTATTAAAACATTCTGTACCGTGCAAATAACACTTATCTGCCTACACTGTGCATGTCGCCGTTTACTTTGCAACTACTCCCAGTCTGTTTTCTACCGCCACAGTCCCGTGTTACATTCAGTAACAGTCCCAGCTCGTTATTGGTGCATGCAAAAAAAAAAAAAAAAACTGGTCTGATTCTTCGTCTGTATTTATTTATTCTTTCACCAAATCTTCTGTAACTACGGAATAGACCATCTGGCTTCATGTTTACACCGGCGCACGCATGCCCAGTGTACCTGAGTCGTTTTAATGTAGACGGAGATCAACGCTGAAACGCTGCTGTGGACGGAGATGGTATTTGTTTTTACTAGTGTGGACGGAGCCTGAGGGGTGAATTCTGCTGTTTTTCTAGTTATGTGTCTGGCTCATAGACGATGTGATGTCACCTGTTGGTTTGTGGACCGCCGTTCTGAAGCCTCCAGTTTGGCATTTTGGCCGTCGCCATCTTGTTTTTATGGAACCAGACGTGACCGTATTTGGACGAGACAGTGGAGTTAGTTAGCTTGGTTAGCAAGGTGCATCTGTAAGTCACATTAACTGTGATATTAGCTGGGATGCTAATTTTGGCTTAAAACAATGAGTCGCCTTTATCCTGATTGACAGGCAGCGACCTGTCAATCAGCTTGTAGCATGTAGCATTTTCTCAGAGACTTCTATACAATCACACTTCTTTCTGCAGCCGCTGGAGTCGCCCCCTGCTGGCTGCTAGAGAGGACGCAGGTTTAAGTCGCCCCCTGCTGGCTGCTAGAGAGGACGCAGGTTTAAGTCGCCCCCTGCTGGCTGCTAGAGAGGACGCAGGTTTAAGTCGCCCCCTGCTGGCTGCTAGAGAGGACGCAGGTTTAAGTCGCCCCCTGCTGGCTGCTAGAGAGGACGCAGGTTTAAGTCGCCCCCTGCTGGCTGCTAGAGAGGACGCAGGTTTAAGTCGCCCCCTGCTGGCCGCTAGAGAGGACGCAGGTTTAAGTCGCCCCCTGCTGGCCGCTAGAGAGGACGCAGGTTTAAGTCGCCCCCTGCTGGCCGCTAGAGAGGACGCAGGTTTAAGTCGCCCCCTGCTGGCTGCTAGAGAGGACGCAGGTTTAAGTCGCTCCCTGCTGGCTGCTAGAGAGGACGCAGGTTTAAGTTGCTCCCTGCTGGCTGCTAGAGAGGACGCAGGTTTAAGTCGCCCCCTGCTGGCTGCTGGAGAGGACGCAGGTTTAAGTCGCTCCCTGCTGGCTGCTAGAGAGGACGCAGGTTTAAGTTGCTCCCTGCTGGCTGCTAGAGAGGACGCAGGTTTAAGTTGCTCCCTGCTGGCTGCTAGAGAGGACGCAGGTTTAAGTTGCTCCCTGCTGGCTGCTGGAGAGGACGCAGGTTTAAGTTGCTCCCTGCTGGCTGCTGGAGAGGACGCAGGTTTAAGTCGCCCCTGCTGGCTGCTAGAGAGGACGCAGGTTTAAGTCGCCCCCTGCTGGCCGCTAGAGAGGACGCAGGTTTAAGTCGCCCCCTGCTGGCTGCTAGAGAGGACGCAGGTTTAAGTCGCCCCCTGCTGGCTGCTAGAGAGGACGCAGGTTTAAGTCACCCCCTGCTGGCTGCTAGAGAGGACGCAGGTTTAAGTCGCCCCCTGCTGGCTGCTGGAGAGGACGCAGGTTTAAGTCGCCCCCTGCTGGCTGCTAGAGAGGACGCAGGTTTAAGTCGCCCCCTGCTGGCTGCTGGAGAGGACGCAGGTTTAAGTCGCCCCCTGCTGGCTGCTAGAGAGGACGCAGGTTTAAGTCGCCCCCTGCTGGCTGCTAGAGAGGACGCAGGTTTAAGTCGCCCCCTGCTGGCTGCTGGAGAGGACGCAGGTTTAAGTCGCCCCCTGCTGGCTGCTAGAGAGGACGCAGGTTTAAGTCGCCCCCTGCTGGCTGCTAGAGAGGACGCAGGTTTAAGTCACCCCCTGCTGGCTGCTAGAGAGGACGCAGGTTTAAGTCGCCCCCTGCTGGCTGCTGGAGAGGACGCAGGTTTAAGTCGCCCCCTGCTGGCTGTTAGAGAGGACGCAGGTTTAAGTCGCCCCCTGCTGGCTGCTGGAGAGGACGCAGGTTTAAGTCGCCCCCTGCTGGCTGTTAGAGAGGACGCAGGTTTAAGTCGCCCCCTGCTGGCTGCTAGAGAGGACGCAGGTTTAAGTCGCCCCCTGCTGGCTGCTGGAGAGGACGCAGGTTTAAGTCGCCCCCTGCTGGCTGCTAGAGAGGACGCAGGTTTAAGTCGCCCCCTGCTGGCTGCTAGAGAGGACGCAGGTTTAAGGCGCCCCCTGCTGGCTGCTAGAGAGGACGCAGGTTTAAGTCGCCCCCTGCTGGCTGCTAGAGAGGACGCAGGTTTAAGTCGCCCCCTGCTGGCCGCTAGAGAGGACGCAGGTTTAAGGCGCCCCCTGCTGGCTGCTAGAGAGGACGCAGGTTTAAGTCGCCCCCTGCTGGCTGCTAGAGAGGACGTAGGTTTAAGTCGCCCCCTGCTGGCTGCTAGAGAGGACGCAGGTTTAAGGTGCCCCCTGCTGGCTGCTAGAGAGGACGCAGGTTTAAGTCTCCCCCTGCTGGCTGCTAGAGAGGACGCAGGTTTAAGTCGCCCCCTGCTGGCTGCTAGAGAGGACGCAGGTTTAAGGCGCCCCCTGCTGGCTGCTAGAGAGGACGCAGGTTTAAGGCTCTGCAGCACTGGTTCAACTTTCAGACGCAGAGGTTCCTGCACGAGTTAAATTCCTGAGGTGAAACTATCCTGCAGCTTGTCAAAACTGATGTCGGAGCCAAAACCAGGGTCCGTCCAGATTATTTTGGCCCCTGGTTAACTTAATGTAAGCGACACTGGGTTTTATCTGATCTGCTGTGCATGAAAACGGACAGACTCACATTTAGACCGGGGTAACCGGGGAAACCAGGATCTCCCTGTAATGAGAAAGAAATAAGAAGTTATAAAAAAAACCCACAGAGAAGATGGAAAACATATTCCTCAATTTCCTAAAATGTCAAGCAGTTTATTTAAATCGTTTCGGTCTCATCTACCTTGACACCTTTAGGTCCTGCAGGTCCGTAACCGTCTCTGCCGTCCTGACCCTGAAACAGAGCAGACGACAGTCAGCGAGGCCCAGACAGGATATACAGTTTATACTACACAGCATTTACATAACTAAACATTTCAGCTCCCTACCGGCATTCCTCTGGCTCCCAGTGAACCTGGAGTTCCTTTATCACCTGGGTCTCCTGGTTGGCCCTTCAACAACAACAACAACAGTTTTTATTTTCCTGTCACAAGACACTGCTAATTATCAAAAATCAAATATATTACAAGCATTAGGGCTGCAGCTAACGGTTATTTTCATTATCGATGATTCGATTGGTTGGAAACCCCAAAGAGATTCAGTTTGCAAAGATATAAAACAGAGAAAATCCTCACTGTGTAAGTGCTAAAAGGTAAATTTAGGTCATTTGTGCTTGAAGAGGTAAAAATAAAAGGATTAATGGACTAATTGTTGCAGCTCTACAAGACATCTCCTGGTAACACATACAAAACCAAAAGAAACCCATCAGTTAAAGCGCTATGTGTATCTCTATAGACTTTAAAATAACTATTTATGTGCAACGGGGTGGTGATGGTGTAGTGGATAAGATGCATGCCTTTGGTGTGACAGACCCGGGTTAATTTCCTCCACTGTGACCCATCCACCATTGTGTCCCTGAGAAAGACACTTAACCCCTCGTTGCTCCAGAGGTGTGCGACCTCTGACATGAATAGCAGCTGTAAGTCGCGTTGGATAAAAGTAACATGGAACAAGAAACTGACCGCTACTAGATCTACCAGACTTTCTCCAAATAACTGAAAATATTTTTACCAATTAAACATCAAATCTCATGAGGTCAAATCAACGGGACGAACAACAATTACAGACTTCCTGTTCTGATCTAACATTATGTTGACATGATGTACTGGATCGTGGACGGAGCGACGAGATGAAATAATGTCACAAACACCTTCTGTCCGAGAGATCCAGGGCGTCCGGCTGATCCCGGACCTCCAGGCTGTCCTGGTCCACCCTGTAAGGGAAACCAGCAGAGTCAGAGCAGGAAGCACGACAACATGAGCGTCCTTAAATACATCCCCAAAATATGCATGTGTTTATTTATTCGTGTTTACACCTCCGACCACCAGGCATCACTTCGTCTGGAGAAAACTGTTTAGAGACGTACTTGAAGGTTCTTTATGTTTACGAGATTGTGATCATTAATATATCAGCAAACAACTATTTGCTGTTTAGTGGAGTGATGGCGTCCTGAGCAGAGAAGGACGTCATACTACCGGTCAGAGCCAGTCCGTTGCTGTTGGTTCTGAAGACGGCGATATAACGGCTGTTTCTTTTTTCATCTAACGCCGCGATTTACAGATTTATTGGAACCGTGGAAAGACGAACAAAGACAAAAGGTTTGTTGAGTTTTATTGTGTTTGTTTGAATGAACTGTGTTTTTATGATCAGAAAGGTAAAATTAATATTTTTTATCAATGCAGTCTGGTGGCAAATGAGAGCTACTTAACGGCTATTTCTGGTTGAACTAACTTTCCAACACCTTTCCATAATGTTTCAGACAGGAGATTTCAGAAAACTGAGAGTTTATTTCAACCCAACCCGAGTTGGTGGTTGTAGGAACAGTGGAAAGACTAACAAAGACGGTTTTATTTTGTGTTAGTCCAGTTTGAATTAAGTATATTTTCTGATGAGCAGCAAGGTAAAATGAAATAAAATAAAATGTTTTTCTCAACCCGTTCTCCCTCCCCGACTCCTCACATATAGACGCATGGTCAAGACCCATCGGCGTCCGTCTGTGACGCACTGGGGATCCCTATAGCGTCATAGTTCAAAACAGTGAAGGAAGCCCTGTAGCGTTTTTGACGGTAAAGACCAGTATATGATATTTCACACAAAAGACTGAGTAAGGAGGCGGTTGGGGTGGATGGAGCGCCAGAACCCGGACTTTGAAACAGGAGACCGGGACTAGTGTCTCGTGTGAAACAAAAAGTCCAGTCAAGTTACGCTGGTTATGTAAATTGCGTAAGTTACGCAACTGACGTAAGCAGTGTTGGGCAGTAACGCATTACTGTAATAATATTACTTTTCCCAGTAACTAGTAGTGTCACCAATTACTTTTCTAAAACAGTAATATTATTACAGTAACTAAGCCAAGTAACGCTGCGTTACGTATCCTTGAAGTAAATCCGCGTCTGTACAGGAACTCTGCGTTCATGTTCGCTGAAAACTGAAAAAAACTAAAGGAAGAAAGGAGAACGAGGGAGAGAGGCTTTCTTTCCACAGCTGTTCAACAAATAAGAGTCAAGCAGAAACGTTAAGCTGCAACAGCAGCTCCTAAAGAAACTGGAAACTTGTTTGCAGCATCTCTTTATCTGTAGACAACAGTTTAATATGGAGCTAATTTATGAGCATTTATGAGTTCATTACTCTCTCTCAGTGGCAGACATGGAAAACTGATGTTTGAACTTTTAATTAAGTAAGAAACAGATCCAACATGAGACCAGAAACTGAAAAATATCAGGTTGGATTCAGCTTTTTGAGAAGAGAAACATAAACAGAATTTAAAAAACAAACAAAAAGTTTTACTCTGATTTTTATATGATAACTTTATGTTTCTATTGATGGAAATATTTGGTGTTTTCTTGTTCAGCTACTGTAAAAGGAGAGTTTCTTCACTTAAAGAACCTTTTTGATCCGCCATCACTTTTTGTAAAACTGTCAATATTCGATATCTACACATTTTATTTCTCGCCTCAAAACTTCTCAGAAGTGGATTTAGTGATGAAATAGTGTTCGAAACTTGTTGTCGGCCTCTCTCTCTGCTGCTTCGCGCTTCTCCCGTGTTGTTGGTCCCGCCCACTTCTGCTGCGTAGCTAAAATGGCGGCCGTAGAGGGTGAGAAGTGTCCACCGTTCCACACTCAACGTTTTGGCCGTCTTGAGTTCACCATCCGGGTCCTCTCAGTGCTGCAGTTTGCCGTACTTCTCAGTGTGAACACACTTATGCACTCAAAATAGTGGGTGTAAGTATGGAAGTGTGCGAGACACAGCTCAAGTCAAGACCAAGGGAAGGCAAGACAGAAGCCGTGTTTCCATCAAGGTTTTTTAATGCGCATTTTGAAGCATCGCATTAGAAAAGGTCGATGGAAACGACAAAATTCAACAAAAACAAAAAAGTTTCTCCGCTCGCTTGAGGTGGTTTTTGTAGAGCAAAAAAACAGTAAACGCACTAAACGGGAGATGGAAAGACTTTTTCCGAATAAGTTCTGACGTAGTGAACTTGTTACTCACGACTGATCTGCTGTTTCTGCTGTCGGCGTCTCGCCTGGTTGTGCAGAGTTCTGCACACCTGCAGAATTTCCTGCACCTCCCGGCTGGTGATGCTCATTTGTGCTGAGAAAAGAGGTGGATGCAGATCTGGGCAGGCAGCCTTCATCAGCTGTTCTACTGAATGATGCATTCACCTCTTAAAGGTTCTTCTCAGATCCTTTGCTCTGCACGCTGATCAAACGGGGTTATCACCGCATATTTTTGCTGAATCTCAGTGAATGCTGCTTCTGCTGAGTGTAATAAAATATTAACGACTCTAAATGTTCATAAAATATATACTTGGAATCATTTATCACCGCTGATGAACCTCACAAAGGATATTAGAGCGTTTAAAAGCATTATCTGGAGGTGTATGCAGAACTCTGCAGAACACCGGATATTCCCATAACGTGCGGAGACAACGTGCTGGAAGAGATTTAATCACTAATATTTGTAATATTCTGTGTATCTACTGATCTGTCAGCTGGTTGACTGTGACGGGACAGTTAGTTGTCCTCTGCATCGGACGCTGATGTGACCCGGTGCACACTCGAACGCATCATTTGTGGCTTTTTGAAGGCTGAAATATTGACGTGGTGGAAATTAGAAAAAGATTTCTGTCAGTAAGAGCAGATGCATCTCGGAGACTGTTTGCTCTGTTTATATGCAAGCCTGGCGACACATTTTTATTTCCCTAATTAGTGTTTTGGAAATAATCAGCTGTGCGAATTTCTGACACTAATTTGTTTCATTTAACGACCTCAATGCAGAGATCATAAATAAATCATGTGAGGGCGGGTCAGATCCATAAAACACAAGGACGAGACTTCTGGACTGAAACAGCTACAGCACAGCAGAACCTAACAACACGTCTGTTCCCACCTGAAACGTCGCCGACTCTCTGCCTCCAAACTGGAACCAGAAACCAGATGTGCCCGAGGCGTCTGGCGACAGCAGCGGTGACATCATCTGTCACAGTCTTCAGGATTTGTGACACGCGGGCGTCAAATACGACGACCACAAAATGAACCAACACTCACCGCACTCGTTAAGTCTACAGGTAATTAAAATCTCCTGCATCACCCATCAATTCTTAGGGAGTAAACAGAAACAAAATAAAGTTTGATATAAAGAGTTAAAGTTGTTCTCTTCACATCTATATTTGAAGTGTTAAATTCTATTTATATAAATGTTTGGGCTTCCAATCAGGAGGACACTGAGATGGTGTCCTTTGTATTTTGTCTGGAAATGTCGGGGTTTTAGCAACGAAAAACTTACATGTGGCACATTTTGTACCGCAGCAAATGCTCCAAAGTTTGGCTCAACTTCACTAACAAACTGCAGCAGCTGCAGTCAGGAGGTTTGGTGCGAGGGAGGAATCAGCTCTGACGTGACGAAGCGTTTCCTTCAACACGGCGTGAATCTGAAGGAACGCTTCACCGTGTTCAACGTGTCGCGCTCTCCCAGATCCAGCTAACGCCAACAGTAGCAACACCTCAGGTACTAAACACAGGTGAGCCGACGTTCAGCTTTTATACTGAAGGGAAACCAACGATGGCAACAGATGAGACGAGTCATATGTTTGGCCATACAGCATATCACCGATAGTCACTGAAGGTTTTCAGATGGAGGCTCTTGGCTCTGATTCTGCACATTTTTATATCAGTGATTTTACATACTGGCTGACACAACTGTCAAGCTTTCTCTCTGTAAATATTTAATTGAATGTTCCAGGTCTTTAACTGAAGCCGCACACAAACAGGAAATACCAGTTAAACCTCAGGAAAATTGTTATTTAAAAAATAAAAAGAACAGATAAAGAACTGAGATTAATTCAACATCTGGAGAATGAGACAATGCTTTATTATACTTTTGTTCCTTATAATGTCTTTATTACTCTTTAAGGTTCCTGTAAAGAACTTTGTCATTTACTATTAATTATAGAGAAAAGAAGCTTTGTGAGTTTTAAAGCAGTTGTTGATGAGAAACTGAATAATGCTCCATTTAAAGGGAGAGTGAATATTTATTATTGCTGGAAACATTATTCTTCATGAGAACAAACAGCTGGCCTGTCATGCATAGACTAAAAGACTGTGATACGCCAGTTAATTACTTAATTGGAACTAATTAAATGCAAGGGTACCAACTGAATACTGTCTCTATTATTACCTAGAATTATTACTAAATTACACATTTACAAACCCGTAAAATGAAGCATCACTGAATCTGTTTTCATTTCATCACTTCCCTTCGAAGTAAGTAAAGTTTATTTAAATAGCACCTTTTACAGACAAGAGGGGTCACAATGTGCTTTACAGTGAAAATATAAACTAAAACCAAATCAAATAACTACTATATATATATATATATATATACCAAGAAATTTTATTTGTTCACAAGAACTGTCAAATTGAGAGAAACATTTCTATAAGTGAGAAATTAACTCCGTCTTTACAGCAGCTGATGTTCCTGTTTTTTTCTGAATCTAAACTGTAAAACTGGACATTTTCAGTATCAGACTGTGTGTCTGTCTTCCAGCTGGTCTGGGGTCAGCTCAGTTACCGTCTCGTGAAATGGAGTAAAGGTTAAGGTGATGTACTCACCTGAGGTCCAGGAAGGCCTGGGATTCCTATCGGTCCAGGTTGACCTCTGACCCCGCCGGGACCCTGTAGGCACAACATGGATTTATAAAAACTTTAAAACTACAGACAGGAAAAAAGCAAGCGCCCCCCGTTGGTTTGTGGACTACCGTTTTGAAGCTTTGAGGACAGAACACTGTTGGACTGCTTTCTTTGCCTTTGTAATCTTTCTTCGTCCTCTCAGAAGCGACTCACCTGTGGACCTGAAGGACCTGGGATCCCTCGGAGTCCTGGATCTCCTGGCCCTCCAGGTGCGCCCTGCAGGACACAGTTTAAAAAAGGGTGTTACTGGTGTATAAACCAGTACTAACAGCTGTTGTTTGAGTTCCTCTCCTACCTTCTCGCCGAGTGGCCCTTTCCTTCCGATTGAACCCTGAATAGCAGAAAAGCAATATGTTAAAATAATTATAATAATGTTTCATGAGTAATGTATTAATCACTTTGTTAATCAATTTTTCCTGATTTGCTTTAACCACGCCCACCAGTGATGTCACATGGTCCTGGAGTACACCTGTACATCACTGCAGCAAGGTGAGACACATTGATGTAACACAATAAGTCTTTTTTTCTTTACATCAGTAAAGTTTGTATTGTTAAAGGCAAAATGTGTCCGTATATCATTTTAAATTAAATATTGCTGCAACAGGCCTACACATCATATTCTGCAGAAAACATCTTTGTTTGGTACAGATTCTTGCAAGAATTCTAACATAATCATTTAAATGTTTTTCAATGAAAATGAGAATAACTGTGTAAATATTATAATTCCCTCCAATATCGCAAATCAGATCCCAAGTGCAATATCAGTCAAAATAATTGCAATTAGATATTTTTTTTAAATTGTTCAGCCCTAAGACCTATTTTAGTAAAGAAACTAAAACATATTTTAAATCTAACTTTTATATATTTGGTGATACATTTACTAATTTACTTAAATTAATAATTTGATGTGCTCTGAAATTCAACAGGGAAATCCAGACTGCCGGTTTCTTTCTGCCTGCTGTCGGCCTAGCAGCTAAATCTGAACTTCCTCATCATGTCACAGAATGTAACGGGCTACCAGAAAATATATATATATATATATATAATTTAATATAATATAACGGAGAGTGCATTGACCAGATAACAGCAGAGAGTTTCACCCTGTAATATTAATTAGCTGCAGCCTGACTACGCTAACACATGCTAACAGATTTTAAGCCCTGCAAAGTCAACTAAACTTTCAGTATTCTTTTTTTAGATTTAAGAGAGTGACTTTCATGACTTAAATTATCTTTTAAACTGACAAACATCAAGTGTGTAATTCAGGGCTCAATTCAAACAAGATCAGAAAAACTGTTGTCTCTCATCGTTGACTATTTTTTCTCCAAAGTATGGTCCCATGGGACTTAGGATATCTATTAAAACACTGTTAATAATGTCAGTCAGAATTAAAACTGTGGTGCTTATACTTAAAATAATGCACTTTATTAAAAAAGGAATCACTCAATGTCTAGCACCTTTTAAATAAATTTCTACCAACTTTTAAACTCAACGTCTGGAACCTTTTAAATTCAATATGTGGAACCTTTTAAATTCAACGTCTGGAACCTTTTAAATTCAGTGTCTGGAACCTTTTAAATTCAGTGTCTGGAACCTTTTAAATTCAACGTCTGGAACCTTTTAAATTCAATGTCTGGACCCTTTTAAATTCAATATCTGGAACCTTTTAAATTCAGTGTCTGGAACCTTTTAAATTTAATGTCTGGAACCTTTTAAATTCAATATCTGGAACCTTTTAAATTCAGTGTCTGGAACCTTTTAAATTTAATGTCTGGAACCTTTTAAATTCAACGTCTGGAACCTTTTAAATTCAACGTCTGGAACCTTTTAAATTCAGTGTCTGGAACCTTTTAAATTTAATGTCTGGAACCTTTTAAATTCAATGTCTGGAACCTTTTAAATTCAACGTCTGGAACCTTTTAAATTCAGTGTCTGGAACCTTTTAAATTCAATATCTGGAACCTTTTAAATTCAACGTCTGGAACCTTTTAAATTCAACGTCTGGAACCTTTTAAATTCAACGTCTGGAACCTTTTAAATTCAACGTCTGGAACCTTTTAAATTCAATATCTGGAACCTTTTAAATAAATTTCTACCAACTTTTAAACTCAACATCTGGAACCTTTTAAATAAATTTCTACCAACTTTTAAACTCAACATCTGGAACCTTTTAAATAAATTTCTACCAACTTTTAAACTCAACGTCTGGAACCTTTTAAATTCAATATGTGGAACCTTTTAAATTCAACGTCTGGAACCTTTTAAATTCAGTGTCTGGAACCTTTTAAATTCAATATCTGGAACCTTTTAAATTCAACGTCTGGAACCTTTTAAATTCAACGTCTGGAACCTTTTAAATTCAACGTCTGGAACCTTTTAAATTCAACGTCTGGAACCTTTTAAATTCAATATCTGGAACCTTTTAAATAAATTTCTACCAACTTTTAAACTCAACATCTGGAACCTTTTAAATAAATTTCTACCAACTTTTAAACTCAACATCTGGAACCTTTTAAATAAATTTCTACCAACTTTTAAACTCAACGTCTGGAACCTTTTAAATTCAATATGTGGAACCTTTTAAATTCAGTGTCTGGAACCTTTTAAATTCAGGATCTGGAACCTTTTAAATTCAATATCTGGAACCTTTTAAATTCAATGTATGGAACCTTTTTATATACATTTCTGCCACCTTTTAATTTAATGTCTGGAACATTTTAAATTCGATATCCAGCAAGTTTTAGGGACTGCATGCAGATGTAAAACAGGTCAAAATATCTCACCGGGTTTCCAACGATTCCGCTCTCACCTGGCCGCCCGTCTGGCCCAGGTGCACCCTGAGGAGTTAAAAACATCACAATTCAGCAAAGTGGCTGAATTGTTCTGACAAAAAAAAGAGGACAAACTAAAATATGTATTAAATTGAGACTTTTAAAAGTAAATTAGCATCTTAGGAGGTTTCTTACTAGATACAGAAACACAGAAGTCACTGCAAAGAAGAACCAAACAAAACACAGCACTAGTGTTTCTGTATTGATCAAGAGTTCATCTAAAAACGAACTTCAGTGATCCAACAATCACCTGATTTTACCTTTACACCATCAATCTCAACACGAACCCATCTGTGATGTTTCTTACCGCTAAACCTGGGTTCCCTGGTTCTCCTTTGGCTCCTGGAGAGGTGTTATCAGCACCTGATTCACCCTATCAGACAAAACATAAAGCCACAGTCTTAACTCAGTCAGTCCTGAAAGATAAACTCCACGTAGTGTTTAGTTTCCTGAAGTGGAGCCTCCAGCTGTGTTAGGGTTTCTAACAGGAGACAGAGCTCATAGTGAAGTTCCTGAAAACAGAGAAACCTTTAATGATCTTCTATGACTTGTGATGTGACAGCAGAGACGATGGAAAGACCGTGTTATAGAGGCCTTTCAGTTTAAACTAAGGGCAACAAACTTTGTGTTTTCACCCGACTGTTTGACCAAGAAGTAAGAAGGAATTTATTCGCAGCTGATGGTGAAGATTTTGTTTGTTTTTTGCTCTCCAGTTTTAAACCAAACCAATGAGCCTTAATAGGAAACAAGAGCGCTGAGACTCTCTCTTTTTCTCCCACAGAAACATCCAAACATACAGACTTGCTGGGCGGTCAGACTCATTTCTGTTTGCAAATAAAGAAAACACCCTGGTTTTATTGAGCTATTGGTGATTTTATGATGTTGAAAAACATTTTATTAAAAGAGCAAAATCCAGCTTTGTTAAAGGTAAAAACACCATTTCCAAAAAAGTTGGGATATTTTCCAAAATGCAAAAAAAATCTAAAATCTGGGATTTGTTAATTCACATGTACCTTTACTGAAGTGACAATAGTACAAAGAAAATATTTTAAATAGTTTTACTGGTCAGCGTAATTGTATTTTGTAAATATAAACAGTTAGAATTTCATGCCTCAAACACACTCAACAAAAGTTGGGCCAGAGTTAAAGTAAGATTAAAAGTGCACAGAGTATTGAAGTAACGCCTGTTTGGAAGACAGACTAACAGGATGGAAACAGCTGAGGCATCATGATTGTATATAAAAGCATCCGCCACAGGCTCAGTCTTTGCACGTAAGGACGGCTCGTGATTTACCCCTTTCTGCCAAAATACTTGAGAAAATTGTTAGTCAGTTAAAACGGAACTTTTCTCAACACAAGACTGCAGAGAATTTAGGTCTTTCAAAATCAGCAGTGCATAATATTGTGAACAGACATCTCAGGGCGTAAAATCTTTTCTTTGTACTTTTGTCCATTAAATAAAGGTTCTTATGAATGAACTAATAGTTATTTTGTTTTTCCTAAGCTCCTAAATACCACTGAGGATACCTTGATTGTCTTCACCATAACAATCATGTAACGTCTAAAACTGGGCTCTAGTCTAAGTCTAACAAGACAAATGAGAATCCAACATTAATCTCTCTATGACTTTGCAGTATCGTGATAAAAGAAATTAAAGTAAATTCAACCAATCCCAGCAAACTTTGAAACAGCACGACATTCTCAATTAGATGTTTGGTCTATAAAATGGCAGAAAACGGCGTTTTAATGTTTCCCACAGGCCAACATGGCGACCTCAAATATCTTGTTTTGTCCACAACCCAAAGATATTCAGTTTACCGTCACAGAGACCAGAAAATATTCACATTAAAGAAGCTGTAGAGAAATAAAGAATTTGCTTAAAGCATCCTCGAACCAACTATCAAAATAGTTGGCGTTTAATTTAATAATTGACAGCTAACCGATTCATCGTTACAGCTCTATTGACATTTAGTTTTATTCCTCCTCATGCAGAAATCAGTCAAAGTTGGAGAAAGCTCACTAATTTGTCCAACCACTGCTGTTTTAAAAGCATCCAATTTGAAACCAAAGTTATGAGCCCAAAGCCAAACAAAGTAAATCTCTGATCTCAGATCTGTATCTCTGTTTTAAGCCTGTAGAACTTTTTTAGCCCTGAAGTCGTCTTATCAGGCAGAACTCACTCCCTGGCCTTGTATCACCTCTAACAAGCTCCACCAAATCTGCCAATTTTCATTCTTAAACCTTCAGCAACACATTTGTGGTTGTTCTGGCTTGTTTCTGTAAACCACAAACCCCCAAAATATTTCAGGAATGGCTTTAACAGGATTCTATGAGTGAACATTAGGTGATCCTACATTCACCGCATCTTTAAGAATCTAATAAGAGAGACAAAGGGACAGGCTGAGAGTGTGTTGATCTGTTGATCTGGTTTGTTCAACAATAAGTTTCAGAGAAAAAACGTGAGAGAGGAAGGATTAAAGCAGCGCAGCAGAGCTGTTATATAAGCACACAGAGAGAACATAAAGCACGAGGGTCAAACTTAAATTTAAATCCTACAGAGTCTGGAGGGAGAGAGGCACACAGATAAAGATAATGACGGCAGTTATAATAATATTTTTATTAAAAAGAAAAAAGCAGACTAGGGAGTAAAGAAAAACAAAACTTATCTGTGAATGTCTCAGTGAACTTATCCTCTGTGTTTCCAGGGTTCACGCTTGATTTAAAGAAATATTTTCCGGGATATTTTCTCATTTAAGAGAATAAAGTCAAAGGATTTAACAGGGTCACAGTTAGGTCACTTTAACTTCCAACACAAAGTTGCAGCGTTATACTGTATATTCACACTGGATGCCTCATACAGACAGAAGACACAGTCAGGTCAAACACGTCGATCCCGAGGAGTGAATTTGATAATCCTGCTGTTTTCTGGCCCGTCCTGAGACGCATACCATTTAACTGCAACGTCCCTGGTTCCAGTCCAGCTGGGGACACTTACTGCAGGTCCTGCCCTCTTTCCTTTTCTGTTTCTGCACCTTTTTTTTAACAGGAAACTGAAGTCTCGCTCAAGGACAGTTCTCGCTCTGAAATCTCGTGAGAGGCGAGTTGTTGCAGGAAGACTCAGGTGGAAATGAGGGAGAGGAGTACAACGCACACGACAAACTCCTCCCCCTCGTTTCCACCGGCGTCTTCCTGCAACAACTCGCCTCTCACGAGATTTCAGAGCGAGAACTGTCCTTAACTACTCCTTAAGCTTAAAGATGTCACTGATGAGAGTTTTATCTCAGAGGCGTGGTTTAACAAATCCTGAACTTAACTTCCAAGTCTGACTTCAAGAAATCTGGTTTTAGTGAGAAGCAGCAAACTCAAAGGTTGCATCTGAAGCGTTTTCTCTTTCGTGGCAAACTTTTCTTTATTTATTAGTTTATTTAACAGGAACAAAGCAATGCAGCAGCTGTGATGTACACTGGGCGTCTAGCAGAAGCTTGTTTGCAGGTTAGGCTTTTAAATCCAAAACACCAGAACAGAACAAAGCACATTCATGTTTAAATGTACATGTGTGAATAACCGACATGCAGGAGTGAGAGAGTGAGCTGCAGTGTGTATACGGTCTGTACACCTTTTCTTATGTAATACATAAAAAGGAACACAGGTCATTGCACACAGCATTTTATTATATGTAAAAATAAATAAAAATAAAATGAAGAGAGAGGGAGAAAATATTTGGACTCACCGGATCTCCTCGCAGTCCTCGCTGTCCTTTCGGCCCCGTCTCCCCTCTGATGCCTGGGATACCCTGAGGACGACAGTTCAACCTGTCAATCAACCAGCCGGAGGTCAGAGGTCAACGCCTCCGAGCTTCATTCTGTCATCATAATATGACGGGCGGGACAGCTGAATTCCACCGAACTACAGAGACACTTTGTTCCAACATTCAAGTATTTATGAAAGCTAGCACTACTACTAATAACACAAACTTTATACGAGTAAATTACTCATTAAATTATACGTTTAAATATTTGAGTTATAATAAGAATAATTAGTTATTATTAATTATGAAAGAGAAAATACAAAAGTCAAACTACAAAATGCTCCATACACTTTCATTTAATCACTAAATTAAATGTATTAGTTCATTAACAATAAGTAATATATTTTAAATATACAGAATATATACATTTCAGTACAACAAAATAAAGTTATTCCTGTGTTCTTTTACTTTTATTTTAAATTTTGTTTGATTAAATGTGTTTTAAAATGAAAGCTTCAGTGGACTTATGTCTGAAAACTAGTGTTGTAGTACTCGAGACCGGTCTTAAGAGCACTTTTTGATGGTCTTGACTACAACACTAATGTGCATGAAAAAGTCCTCGTTAAAAAAGTGAAAATACAAATAAAGCCATCGGAGATCACAAAACAGATAAATGATATTCTGGTTTGATAAAGAGAGACACAGAGACAGTGATCACATATTGAGAAAGAGAAATGTTTTACTGGGTTTCCCGGGTGTCCTCTCTCTCCTCGAGTTCCATCTTTTCCCGTCACTCCCTGCAAACACAAAACCAGAAACAGCTCAGCGCCAAGAGCCTCAAAAATCCCTCCAATCAGCTCATTTCCTGAACACACCCGCTCATTTCCTCCGTTATGAAAACAAAAAATTAGAGTTCTCCTGTATCTCAGAATCATCAGATCTTATTAGTTTCCTGTTTAACTAAAGTGTAACTAAATTAAAGTGAAAGAAGGCCACCTCTTCCACATGCAGGATGAGGACTGAGCATTAAAATAACCTGATAATCCCAAAGATCTGTATCGGGGCCGATAATCAACAATAATAGGAATATTATTTGTTGTCTTACTTCTATGGGGGATAAAATTTAGGGGCTTTGTGTGGATGTTAAAGGGCATCATAATGTTGCTAGGGAGACAGTGAGGGCTACAGCACAACCAAAGTCCTTATAGACAAGTCCTGCCGCTCTGCAGCCATCTTGGTAACGCCTCCGGGTAAGACGACCAGGCCCCCCTCTGAATGAATGATGACCTGTCCAGGGTGTACCCCGCCTTTTGCCCGATGTCAGCTGGGATTGGCTCCAGCCCCCCATCCCCCCCCCGACCCTGTACGCCGGATAAGCGGTTGATGATGGATGGATGGTTATACTCCTGCCACACATGAGGGTAGTAGTGACACATACCTAGTAGACCCTTATTTCAGTGGAACCACACGATGGGCTGAAATAAGTTTCCCGCCTCGGCTGTTTCGCTTTCTGGCGTGCAGGCAGGATAACCGCCTCGGATCTTTGGCGTTTCAGGTTTTCCCTATAGAGTTGCACTGAGGATTCTTAAAGTGGCGTGTCTCCTTTATAAAACATCTCTAGTACAACTTGATCTCTGTTTTTAAGCCTGTATTTGTTCACATTTTGTCAAACTGTCAATAAAAGTAGCTGAATTAGCAGCTCCTGTTAGCAGTGTACGCATGCATGCAGACAGATTCTCAGGCAGGTTCTGCAGCGACTTTATTCTCTGGATTCTGAGTGGATTTATGGACATCGAGTCAGAGATTAATGATATTCTCTGAGAGTCTATGTCACGAAGAATCTAAAATATGTGTGTTCAGATTTCACCGAGTTATGACTCCAGGAAGGAGAGCCAATACAAACTGCAGGAATTACACGCTAAGTGTTTTAAAGTACCCTAATCTGCTGGCCGGGTTGAAGAGCGGCTTAACTACAATGACCTGTTGTTTTTAAAACATGTGCATGTACCGGTCCTCTTCACAGCATCTTTAAACAGTGGCATAAATTATAGACATTCCATTACTTGATGATGTGTAAGGCTTTTCTTTTTTCTTTATTATTATTTAAATAGTCAGATGAGCAGATGTAGCTGCTGAAGTTTGTACCTGTTCTCCGTTCACTCCGTCCAGTCCTTCTTCTCCGTTTTCACCCTGCGACGTTGGAAGCAAAGTCAGGTATCACAGCAGAATGTTTCTCTGACTCTCTTTTTTAATGTTCGTGCAAGCATTCCTCACTACATACGGCACATCACATGACATGACTTTTGAGTCACTCACCCTGTTTCCCCGGAGGCCTCGGTTTCCCTGCAGACACAAACAGCAGGAGTTAAGACCCACATCATCATCTGTCAAACTAAATGCATGGTTAATAATCTGATAATAATAATATACCTTCAGTCCCCTGAGTCCAGAACAACCCTGGAGACCCTGAGGTCCACTCGGTCCAGGACGCCCTCGCTCTCCCTGCAACATAAAAAACACAGTGAGGCGTGACGCAGCACAGAGGAGTCCAGCAGGAGACTCCAGCCCTGACGTCACCGCCGTGAGCAAACGCTGACTCAGTTTAACCCGCAGTGCAGAACTTTCCCATCAGCCTCAGCTGTGTGTTCTGCAAATGTTAGATGACATGTCTGTAAAGATTCTCAGTCATCCAGGTCATAGTTATCCAGGGAAGGATCAAATCAAGGGCAGCTGCACTTTGATACTCAAAGATGTTTCACCTCATCCAAGAGAAGTGAGGAAGCCTCTTCTTTATGTTTGTGATTGGCAGACAGTTTTCTTATTTAATCTACTGTAATTCAGATTTTAATGGACTCTGGAGGCTCATCTAACCTTGGAAAATGGAAAAAGATCTCTTGACAGCAGTTAGGAACAACCCTTCATCTGCAGCCAACAGTTTAACCAAATCTGGTCAAATATTATGTTTTAAAGTGAATGAAGAAGCACTCACAGCGACGCCCTCATCTCCAGGGAATCCGGGGTAGCCCTTCTGTCCAGACACACCCTGTTCAGAAAACACACAACAGGATCAGAGTGGCAGAGGAAAAAACATTTAAAAAGCATAAAACTAATTAAGGAGGACAGCAAAGTTCGTCCTACTCCAAAAAGTCTATTTCCAGGAGGATAATGAAATTGAAGACTTGCTGTTCTATGTAAATATTTATAGATATTTTCTTTCTGAAATAGAGCCGCCTCTGGTCGTTTCACCTCGCTGCAATGTTGCCGATCTCATTAGTATTAATAATTCTGCTGTTGACCTCAAAACCTCAGAACACAATCAGTACATTTGAGAAAAATAAAGATAATCTGATTCTGAAAACCTTAAAAGTACAACATGTGAACAGCACACAAACTTTCCAAATTATATCTGTGTCATTTTTTATTTTGAAGGCAATTTTTGACTCCTATTTAAAATGTTAACCCTTTTATATTAATATAATAAGCATTAGAGTTATTCTAACACTTTACCTACATGCCTCTTAATCACCTAAATGTGTCATCATCTAATCAAGATAATCCAAACCACTTTCTGAAATAACCAAACAAAGTTGAGGTAATTGTACTTTACTTGAGTATTTAGGTCATTGTACTGGTGGATATAACGAAATTCAGGTGCACTACCTGAGTGGGCTCTCTTAAATAAAATAAAATAATAATAATACAAACAAACCAAACAATAATAATAAGATGCATATTTAAATATGTATTCCACAAGAATATTAGATCTAATCACAGAATATAAATTAGGACGTTCCACAGGGGAGTTCTTGCACAGTATAATTAACGGCTTTGGGTTTCAGTCTGGTCGTCATTTATTTGACAGCTGAGGTCATTTTCCACATTAAGATTTTACATAAAAAATCATTTGACAAGCTCATAAAAAGGCATTGTTGTAGATTAAACCTGCGGTGTTGAAGCAGTGTCTCTTGTCATGTTTCAGAGTCTCTGATTTGTCAGCAGTTCCACCAAATAACCCCCCCCCCCCCCCCCCGCCACCGTGTCTCACATGGTTTCATTTAAATAACACTTTGAGGCCCAACAAAGTAATTTTATCCACTATTTGACAAAAACAAATGAAAGATTGGAAAAGTCCCAAAACTGAAACAGATTTGTTGATTAGAATGTTGGTTTTTCTTGTTTCCTCTCACATTAATCATCTCACAACCACTCAGATTTATCCGGGGACCCTGTGGAGGGGCCACTGGACTAAACTAACTAGAGGTTATAGAAAGATATAGAAAAAATCCCCCTCGAGCAGCTGCAACAGTAAAACGCTGCTCTGACATTGATGCATCAGTATTAATAATCTATTGTAAAGAAAGTTGTTCAGTCATGTGTTTTATCATTTGAGAAATAATTTTATTTCAGCCGAAGATCTGGAGAAACTCATCCACCACTTTATCTCCTCCAGCCTCGCATCAGACTAGGCGATCCGTACCGTGCCCGAGCACGTTTAACCCCCAAAGTCCGGCGCAGTGTGAGCGCAGGCTACCGGGGGGAGTGGCAAGGGGGGAAAAACGTGCTCGGGCACGGTACAAGGCAACCGGGCCTAGTACTCACTTATGTAAGAGTACTCACTTTAATCCCCCCATGGGCCAGAACACAGACTGAGATCCTCTGGTTGGGCGTTGCTAACTATTCAAAGGTCTCCTGGCTAAAACCCAAAGAGGAAAACGGGGCCTCTGCTGTCAGGGGCCCCGTCAGTCTGGATCAGTCTACCAGAGGAGAGCAGGCTCAGAGACTGGTCCTGGATTATCTCACATCTACAAAAAAGCTTTCAATGTGTGATGTGGAATTATTTTTCTTTTATTGTACATTGACTCGTTCCATGTTCTACTCGCTGCACATAACTGTGTGCAAAACTGATTTTTATTTGACTTTGATTGTTTTATTGATTGCTTTGTTACCTGCAGAATGACTTCTTTTACTACAGATTATACTACGTGTTGCTGCTTTTACTTTTACTTCAGCCGGTTTTTGAACGCGGGACCTACCTACAAGTATTTTTACAATGTTGTACGGATACTTTTACTTCAGTCAATGATCTGAGTCACTCCTCTCAGCCTTGAGAAAAGGAGGCGTTTCATGCTTTGCCCTGTGTAACAGGATCCATTTAACGCTGACCCTGGAATGCCTGGAGAACGGGACTTAAAGGGAAGTCTGCCCTCCTCCAGGCCTGTTGCTTACTTTATAAAGATCTCTGCAAGTGTCTGCTTGCTCTCAGACCGGCTTGTTGCACGTTTTTACAAACGTCCTTGACATGGTGTTTAAAGCTTTAAAAGATGTGTGTGTTCCGGTCACCTTTGACCCCGGGGGGCCCCGAGAGCCACGGACGCCTTCGTGTCCAGAACATTTGCACATGACGTTGCAGCACTCCTTATCCGACACAGAGTCCTGCAGAGAGACAGAGGAGAAATCAATAAAGTAACCAAACAATGCATATTTTCTGATTTCTTTTATGCATCTTATTTATAAAAATAAAAAAAAACAGCAAAAGATTTTAGAGTTTACTGCTGAGAGAAACATTACATAGTTATAAGCCACTAAAATCTTAAATCTAGGGAAATGTACACCACACATTAACTCTAGAATGTTTCACATTGGGTTTGCTATTGTTATTTACCACGTAAAAACTGACGCAGACGTCTGTGTGTGTTTTGTTTCTCCTTCTCTTGTCTGTGAACATATAAGCGTGTTTATGTCTGATAGGTCTCTTATTAAGTCAAGTGATTATTCTTTCCCACAACAAATTTAGCGTGCCTCACATTTTCCTTGAAGAACACATTTTACAGTTTGTTTTTTATTTAAACACTTACTTGGACATATGACAAAAGATTTAATCCAGAAGGCCGTTTTGTACTTTTAGCTTTTATTTATTCGTACTCACAAATTTTATGTTTTCTTTTCTTCTTCTGTGCAGCTATGTTCAGTGCTGCACTAATACTTTCTCTTGTTTTGCTGTTCTCTTTTTGATTGAGACGTGCTATACATTTTCACTGAAGCTTTGTTTTTATTCTTTGTAAAGTCATAAATAGTAAATCAGAAGAAAAGTCACAGCGTCTACCTGCAGGAGGTTTTGGCTGCCGTGTTAAACGTGGTTATGTATGTGTATTTCTTAAAGTAGGAGAAAGCTGTTAAGGTTGACTGGATTCTTGTGGGGTTTTTCTTTGCCAATGGCCTTTTCCTTAACATGGTGAATAATTTAGATATTTTCTTCAACCAACACTTCCCTGTGGCTTGTTCCTGGTTTCCATTCCTGCAAACAGACACGCCAGGACATGAAAACCTTTTCTGAACTAATGATGTTTCTGTGACTCTCATCGTGCCGAGAAAAGCGCGACATCTCTCCATCACTTTACTCTCAACGTCTCAGCTGTGATCTACTGCTAAAAATGTGACGAATCAGACCACCAGGAAAAAAATAGAGAAAGCATTTCCATTTCAAGGGAGACAAACAAAACTGTTCCAACACACTAAGAGCAGCTCTCATTTTCAGCTTTCTTAATGACGGTTTCACGCCACTCATCAGCCCGTCCGGCTCATCTCTTGAGCTGATAAAAGTCGCCGTGTGGAAACACCACGTCTCTGTTCTCACGTTCATGTGTGTGATAATGGCTCTAAAGGTAACTTAGTTCGTTTGTTAAATACTTCGAGGCATTAGACTCTTTTCATACATCCTTTCTTTCAGCACCAAGTAGTTTTTACTTGAACACCAGAACTTACAGGTGGCAGCTAAAATGTGTTTTATTTTCGACAGGTAACATTAGTACAGCCAGGTAGATTTTATTTTATTTCATTTAATTTTATTGCTTTATGTCATTAATTGTTTGGCCTGTTTTAATTTATCTGGTTTAAATATTCAAAATGTTCAGCACTTTGGTCAACTCTGTTTTTTTTTTTAATAATGTGATTTATTAATAAACTTGACTAGTGAGAAGTGGAAAAGCTCATAACTGTCTTTAATTTGTGTCACTTAACAATAAATGGCTGAACTTGCAGAACTTACAGACACATCGTACTGCTTGAAAGAAAATAGTCACCAGAATAAGCGTTGAAACTGACAAACATCAAGGGAAATAAAATGCACTGCTAAAACCATGATGTCTCGATTTTACATTTCTACTCCTACAAGTATAAATAAACAAGATACAAAATGTAAAATGAGACAGTTCTGGTGTTGGAAAGAGTTTGAAGCATTTAGTAGACCCTGCTGGTGTACAAAGGGTGAAAATACCTTGAACCAATAGTGATTTTATTTCACTTGAATCCAATGATCTGTCCAGTCAGATCTGAATATGTTTACGGCAGATGATTTTCAACCTGTGGTGACGTGAATGACTTACGATCTGTTTGAGGACGGTGCTGCCGACACTCTGCATGCCGATGCTGAGAGGAAGCTTGTAGCCGAACCCTCGGCCAAACTCCACCATCTGCAGCTGGGCGGGGTCCCGCGCTCCCTCCAGGGCCACAGTCAGCAGAGCGCTGACCCCTGCAGAAAAAAAAAATCACACAGAAGATGAAAGCGTGTGCCATTTCTCTGCAAACAGCTGTACTCGCTGTTACCAGAAGAAATGCAAACTGTGGTCGTGTTGGATCACCACACAAAAACCTGTCTGTGTTTACCAGACTGTCGCAGCAGGTCTGACTCATGCTCCAGCTTCATCACGTCTTCATCGAGTCCGTCTGAGAAGATCACCAGCACCTGAGGGACGAGGTTGATCGCACGTTAGACTGATTTTATTGATGAGGAAACTTCATCTCGTCTCCTTGATTCCGACCATTCAGCTGAAATGCTTTAATTAGTCAGCCATGGATAATAGAATACAGAGATACAGACCGCATAAAGGATTTTACTGAATTAATGACGCTTCAATTTTGAAGTACTTTGAGCTACAGCTACAAGTCACTCGGGCAATGTTCAGACTGCAGGCCAAAGTGACCAAAATCAGTTTCATTTGTTGTCTGAACAGCTCAAGTCTAGTTTCCACTTTCATACTTGGTCAGATGCAGGCAGGATCTTTTGAAAAGCGACGTCAGTCTGGACGTCTGATCAGAGTTCATGCAACCACCGTCAAAATTCTGCACTACGCGGAAAGAGAGGGAACAAAAAAGCTTCACAAAAAAAAATTTGAGCTCTAAGGTCTGCAGTGAGGATGCAGCTTCAGTTCTGTTCCCTTCCACAAAAAACTATATGAAGGAATTGAACAGTTCTTTTGTGGGGCGTAGGAGCCAAACTCCACCATCTGCAGCTGAGCGGGGTCCCGCGCTGGGGGGGTTCGGGGACATGCCTCCCCGATTTTCTTTCTTTCTTTCTTTCTTTTTTTTTTTAAATAAAGTACTTAAGTGCTCATTTCTAATGGCTTTTGAAAAGAGAATGTACTTATTAGTGTGGCTGAAAGAGGGTCTTTGTAGTGACAGAAGATGGAGAAAAACTCGGAGAGGGTCAGAGACACGGAGTATAATATAACTAGAACAAAACCGACTACATACCATTAAAACCATGGAACAGCTGCTAGTTAATGTAGCCACAGCACAAATGTATTTAATTATCCCAATGTTACATTTGTGAGCTGTCTGTGATGTTTCCTGTGTCTCACTTGGCCCTGACTCTTCCTGCAACACATGTTTGTGAACACAGAACTGTCTTCAATGCAAACTCTGATGACTTGCTTTTGGTCTAGTAGCTATCAGTAAATCTTACAAGCTCGTCCTCCTCAGTTTGTTCTACTACTACTCCTGTGAGCTCTGTCCTCTTAAAATACTGTAGGATGCCCGTCTCTGTGTGAACACTGACTACTTTTCAATTGTTTATGGATACATAAATAATAAACGACCATTGAATTTATGGTACATAACTAAATGAGCCTTTAAAATACATTTTCAAAACTAGAAACATCCCTCTCTAACTCTCCTAAAGTAAAGTAATGACTTCAGCTGAGCCCTTTAGTTGATAACTACGCTTAAATAAGTCATATCATCATCAGTCTTACTATAAACTGCTGCTTTGGACTGTGCTGGCTTTGACTCTGTTCTGCTCTTGCCCTCATCTCTGCTGTCTGTCTCATGTTCATGTCAGCGCTAGTACTGGTGCCGCTGGCCAGTTGCAGGTAGAGTACTCAAAATCTTTACTCAAGAAAAAGTACAATTATTCCCATAAATAGTCAGAGGAAAAAATTGCAAACCTACTCAAGTAAAAGTATAATAATATATTTCATCTGCTGTCCAACATAGTTATTTCTAAGAAATGCAATTTGCTTTGCTGGTTGATTTTCTTTAGCTATTTCTGTTTAAAACAATTTCTTTTTTAAAATCTCCATGAATGTGTTGAGAAGATCACTTTAAAATATCAGCTTGCTGCCTAGACACTATTGTTGCATGTGTCTTTTATTATGGACATGTAGCCGACCAAACCTCTTGCTTTGCAGCAGCACACGCAGCCAAAACAATCTGATTATTCCTAAAGCATCTAAATAATCTTCACAACACAGAAGAATGATTGTGGCAGCAACACGGAGCAGCTCGTTGTTGAAGCAGGTAAAGCTGCATACAGAGGAAGCTGTGCGTCATGCATAAAGACCAACAGGACTGTTTTATCCATCATATTTTCTCTCTCTATGTGCATCTCAGAAATGATTGTTTCCTGAATAAATAACAGCTCTAAGTAGCTGCTGAGTGAAGCCAAGATTAGTTTCACCGGCGAGCTTCTGTTTATGGACTCACCGTCGGACAGCGCTATCAAACAAATAGTAGGCCTAACCAATGTTAAAAAACCTAACCGGCTAATACTCATCAAAAGAAAGCAATGCTCTTTTCAACAACAGGATACTGTTAATTTTTCAGAATCAATCAATCATCTAACTTATGTTACAGTGTGAAGTCTACGTTTGCTCTGCAGAGAGAGAATACGCTTTAATGCAGCGTTAATGGAAAGTGAAAGTATTTATTTGCCGGCTTGATAAAGAGCGACGCAGGCTGCTTTCCAACACGGCCAGCAGTATCACGGTGTGCGCTCACTGGATTTAAGTTATACTATTAGAAAAATAAAGCTTAAACTGAAAAAGGTGTTTGCCTGATTTTCTAAATGTTTGCATCTGCCCAGCTCTGATGACCGAGACCAGGCGTTCTTCTGCGTAACTGCGCGCACAGACTGGATCATTTCGGTTGATGAAGCAAAATGCGGATTACAGACTGGTTAAATTATGAAGGTATGAATGGAAAATGTATCGAAATTAAAAGTAGATTACTGGCCTTTAATCATGTCTGATGCGGCGTGTGATTGACTGACTGATTGACTAGTCATTCAAACCCGTGAGGGGGACAAAACATAGATTTTGAAATGTGGGGGTGGACATGTCCCCCTCATGTATAATGGCTCCGACACGTACGGGTGAAACAATAGTTGAATGAATATATTTGGTCTCTAAAGACTCCCTTTCTCATTGGTGGTTTTTATTTTTGTGAAACTGTCTAACTTGTATTAGTGCAAAACTGTTTTCTAAAAAGGATTTCCACAATAGCTAAGAGTTCCAACTCAAACATCTCCTTTATAAATTGGGATGTGAACACAATACAATTAGAGAGGGATAGTTTAAGTGTTTGTAAATCTCACCTTCACGCCAGCCCTGGACTCGGCGCTGAACTTCTGCCCGAAGGATTTCAGCAGGGCCGTGTTGAAGTAGGTCGGCTCTGCCAAATTCAAGGTCATGACCTTCCTCACTACGTCTTCGCTGTAGCCCTCAAAGTTCAAGTCGTACAGGGAGCGTCCATCACGACCCACCACTCGGTAGGCGATGTTGGTCTTGATGGGTGCGGGGCCGACGCAGCAAAGGCCTTCAACCGAGGAGACGTAATGGGCGATCTCTGGCAGGAAGGTCTGGAGCTTGGTGTGGCCGCTGACCAGCATCTCACCAGGAGCGACAGTTCTTCGAGTTATATCGAATCCCATAGCGATATCAATGCTGCAAGCTGTAGCAAAGAGACATATGTCTTTATATTTGGCAGTCATAGAAGCAGAGGGATATGGTATGAAAAAAGACAGACAGAGAAGCAAAGTCCCTTTTAAACTCACTGGATTGATCTTCGGGGGGTCTGGATTTGCAGATGGTGTCTACCACCTTTTGCTTGATGTTTTCCAAGTTGCCGAAGTTCTGCACAGTAAACAGCCTCTCCGGGGTGCCAGTGATCTGCAGGAGCTCCAGATCGTGGACGTCTCCAATGCCGATGGCAAACACCTCGATCCCCAGAGCCCTGAGACGATCAGCTGCATCCTCCACTTCGTCCTGCGATTCACCATCTGTGATCAGCACAAGATTCTGGGAGATCCCAGCAGATCTACGACTTCCTCGCGACGCCTCAAAATACTCGCTGATGGAATCCAGAGCCAGCCCGATATTGGTGCCTCCACCGAGCTGCACCATATCCATGATGTGCTTGGTCACGGCTTCCTCGTTGTAGAACTGATTGAGGTAAAACTCATTCTGGAAAATGCTGCTGAACTGGGCAAGTCCTACATGCACTAAATCCTGACTGACTTTGAAGCTGTTCACTAAATCTGTGGTGAACTGTTTCATGATGGTGTAGTCAGCGCTGTCGATGCTGCCAGACTGATCGAGTAGGAAGACCAGGTCAGCCTTCTGTTTTTCACAAACTGCAAAAGCAAAGAGAAGAAATGTATTGTCATTATTAATAAAGTGTGCCATATACCTGCCGCACTTCACGTTCATTAGAATTCATTCTTGGTAGATTTTCAGCCCTCACATGGACAGGATGACATTACTGGTAGATCTTTACTTATCACAGGTATATCAGTATGTTTCATGGGTTACTTGCATGTTTGACAACATTCATTCTGTTGGGTTTTCCAACACCACAGATTGTACTGTGTACAAAAGGTGCTATGCCTCTTACCTGGCTTGGTGGTATTGCAGAGGACATGAGTTATGTTCTTGTACAGAGTTTCCAGGGCGGCGAAATTGTCTACATAGAAAACTCTGGACTCGTCGTTACCAGCCATGATCTCTAGCTGCGCCTTGTTGGCGCCTTCCACTCCGATACTGAAGACGGTGATCCCTTTCGCTGCCAGTGCCTTTGATGGTGCAAGCAGATTGTTAGGGTCAGTGGCATCACCATCTGTGATCACCATGAGAATCTGGGGCACCTGGAGATCCGCCCGGCCACCATGTTGAGCGTTAAAGAACTGTAAAGAGTATGCCAAAGCCTTGCCAGTGTAGGTGTCTCCAAAGGGGGACTTCAGTGCTGATATTGCTTGAGCAACATCTCGTTTGGTGTCATACTGATTCAGAGTAAAAATAGATTTGGGGTTGGTGGAGTACAGAATGACGCCAAAGCGAGTCAGGTCCTTGCCAACTGTGGTTTGGTTTACAATGGACTCCATGAACTTCTGCATGCTTCTAAACTTGCTCAGGGTTATGCTTGTGGAGCCATCCACCAGGAAAATAATGTCAGCCTTTTCTGTCTTCTTGCACTCTGGTTGGAAATAAAAGGACAAAGAGCAAATGGGATCAGAGGGAAGGGTAGCAGGAAAGATGAGGGAGAAGTAGAGGTGCACTTACATTATAATGAATCAGTAACTTAAAAGAACCACTCTATATTTATATGTACATATATTTATATTTTCCATCTTAGCAATCTTCCAAAAATGTCAAAGCTGTCTTATTTACATATTCAGTCTTGTTGGCTAGCAAACAACTAACAACACCTCCAAGGTTCGTCTGGGTTTTGTTGACAGTGGAGTTCTTTTCAGCATTTGAAACGGGAGCCAAATCTACCACCAAATTCAGTGTCAGGATTAGGTTTCTTGTCAATGAGTTTTAGGGGAATCGCACTGTCCTGCAACACTATTATGTTGCAACCTAGAAGTTAGAACCAGGTTGGATTTCCAAGACAGATTTCCAGTGCAATTCTTCAAAGGGTTTTTGATTAAGAAAATAAAATTTAGGATCCGACTGCCGATATATACATGTTTTTCTACAAGATGGGAGTCAAAGAGTAAAAGAAGAGGGAATCTGTGGCTTACAAACTGTTATGCTCTATAACTGAAATGATTTGATGTTCTGGGATAGTTACCTCTCTCTGGATCACAGAGCTCCAAGGCCAGCTGGCTCTCCAGGTCCTTCAGAGCATCAAAGTCCCTCTCGACATACACCCTGTCTGGTGAACCGCTGATCTCCAGCAGCTGGGTGGTGTTGGCGTCCACCACTCCGATGGCGTAGATCAACACTCCTTTGTCCCTCAGAGCTTCGGCGGGGCCTAGGACAACGTCTTGGGCCTCGCCATCTGTTATCACTACCAGCCTCTGCCTCAGGTCAGGGCGCCCGCCTCGGTTTGCATCGAAATACTGCGACACATCTGTGAGTGCTTCACCGGTGAGCGTGCCTCCACCAAGCTGCTGCATAGCGTCGATTGCGGTCATCATTTCTTCCTGGGTGTAGTAGCGGTTGAGCGGGAACCCCAGTTCTTGGACGGTGCTGAACTGCATGACACCGACATGCACCTCGTCCTGCCTGATGACGGACTTGCTGATGACAGCTTTCATGAAGTCTTTCATTTTCTCATAGTCTTGTGGATAGATGCTGCCAGAGCTGTCGATCAAGAAAAGGAGGTCGCCCGGTACGTCTTTGCAAGCTGTAGACACAGAAGCACGGACGTGTTAGTGCGGTGTTCCTCTTTTTATTCCTGCTACTGGTGACGTTTATCAGCCAGCAGCATCTAATGTTACGGGGTAGAAACAAGCGGCAACAAGTAGGTAAAAATTTGTCTGCTTTCTGTGCCCTTAGAGATGGGTCATCTGCAAGACCTGTATATCGAATGTTATTGTGATCGAGTTGTTTTTGTCGACCACAAACTGCAAATGAGTTCACACCCAGCTGGGGGCCTTTGTTGCAGGTCACGCCCCATCTCTCTTCTCATTACCTGTCACTTCTCTGCTATCGGCTATCTGATGCTGGTGTGTGTTGCCCTTAACTGCTACGTACAGAATATGGTAAACACACATTTTAAGCTGTACTCCAGTTTTCCTTACCGTCTTGCGAACAGATGTCTGTGATGATGTCATCCTTGATGGGCCTCAAAGCATCAAAATTATTGACAAAGAAAGTCCTCTTAGGGTCGCCGGAGATCTCTACCAGCTCATCTTCATCTGCAGCTTTCACCCCGATGGAATAGATGATGACTCCCTGAGCCCTGAGCTTTTCTGCAGGTACCATGACGTTATCACTGGATTTTCCGTCAGTGATGACCACCAGGTATTCTGGGACTTTGTGGCCACGAGTGGCAACTGCTCTTTTAAAGTGTGGTACCATGAATTCCAGCGCTCTTCCCGTCTCCGTCCCGCCTCCTAATTGTTCAATCTTCTCTACGGCTTTCTCCAGTGTCGCGGCATCTGAGTAGGTTGTCAGGTCAAACTCTAAGTCTGGCGAATCTGCGTATTTTGCGACCCCCATGCGGACATGTTGTGGCCCAATACGGAAGGTATGAAGAAACTCAATGATGAACTTCTTCATGTCCTGGAAGTCAGTGGGGTAAATGCTTCCCGAGTGATCAATCAGGAAGAAAATATCAGCTTCATCCGTTTGTACGCAGCCTGGAAAAGGAAAAACAAAAACATTTTGAGCTCTATTCCCAATGCATCAGCTGTACATACATTTACATTAATTTAATAAATGTTTTAAGTTTTCTTTAAACTTCCACTTAAAATTGTCTTGATATTTAAATAAACAAAGCTCGTTCAGACCTTCTTTGATGCTAGTTCTTCTTGTACTGACTGAGAACGCTTGCCGAATAATGTTGTGGCACAGACTTTTCTGCATGATCTGCTCCAGCGATTTCAGCTTGGCGAAGCTGTCCACAATATACATATGCTTATTGGGGGGATAAGACGCTATCTGAGCCAGCTCGGCCTCATTGGCGTCTTTGACTCCGACTGCGTAAACAGTGACACCAGCCCGACGGAGGTTAGCTGCCGCTGTGCTCACGTTGTCCTGGGATTCACCGTCTGTGATCACCACCGCCACCTGCTGGACACCCTTATCTATTCTGCTCCCTTTTTCCTTGATAAAAACATTCTTCCGGGTGAACTTTAGGGCGGCTCCAGTTTTCGTACCGCCTCCATGGTAAGGCAGGATTTTGATGAAATTCAGCAGCTCGTCCTTGTCACTGAAGGTGTCGAGGTGGACCAGTGCGGTGGGCTTGTCACTGTACATCACGATGCCCACTCTGACTCTGGCCGGACTGATTTCCATGCCGCTCACAATCGAGTGCAAGAAGGCGCGCACCAGCTGGAAGTTGGTGGTTCCAATGCTTCCCGACTCATCAACGATGAAAACGATGTCTGCCAGCTTGGCTGCTCTGCAATCTGTGAAAGGGGCGTATTATCATAAAATCATTATGAATCACTCAACGGTATAGAAGATAGAACCAGATACCTTTCAAGATGAAGGGCCTGTCAAAGGTGGACTAAAATAATAAATGAATGAAAGTATAATTAAAAAAACATTCCTACCTTCCGTAAGAGTAGTCTGTTCTTCCTCTGTTTCAAAAATAGCCTTCAGAGTAGTTATAGCATTGATAACAGTGTTGTATAGGTACGGCTCAGTGGCGATGACACGCATTTCCGTCATCGAAGCACCAAAGCTCATCCCCACCACAGTTACTCCTGATGATTTGATCAGACGTGACGCCCTGTACACAGGATCATCTGAGTCTTTTCCGCTTAGAACAACCAGGTACTGTCTGTAGCCTTGGTCCGCCCGGCTTCCTGCAGCACTAGTGAAAAAGTTAGTGCTGGCGTACTCCAACGCGCTGCCCAGGTTACGAGGCTCGTTGGGCGACAGTTTGCGCTGGCGAAAACGCTTAGTAGCATTCATGGTTTCCTCTTTGGTTTGGTAGGTATTGAGAAGAAATTCCACCTTCATATCCCGACCATACTGGGCCAAGCCCAGACGGTAGGCGGACGCTCCGATGTTCAGTTGATTGGCCAGTCGGATGAGGAGGGTCCGGATCTGCTGGAAATCTGATGCAGTCACACCACTGTCCACCAGGAAGAAAATGTCTGCAAAAGTTTCTTTCAACGCTGAAAGAAAACAGACCAAAAGGAAGAGTAAGAAGATCTTAGGGCTGGACGATATGGCCAAAAATGTACTTTCATATCTTTCTATATCGATAATTATCACGATAAGTATAAAATCTGAATTTTTTAGAGTTTAAAGGCTGATTTCTGCTCCTGAGTGAAGAAACCTGATGGTTAATTGTGGTTTAAACTTTTCTTTATGGTCACCACTTGAGGCCAAACAGTAGGATCACTTCATAGATCCGAGGCAGAACATTCAAAACTATTATGATAAAATCTTTGTCAACAAATATGCACGAGTAAAATTAAGTAAAAACTTTTTTTCAGTCCTTTTTTTTTGTCCTCAACAAAATAATAAATATAATAATAAAAAAATAAGTCCTAATTTGTGTATGACGACGTGTAAGAGAATACAATCAAACAATTATATTATAATATTGAACATTTGTTATATTGTTATTGGAAAAAATGATATCGCGATAATTATTGTTAGTTTTATTGTAAAAAAGTAGACCACTCCCTCCAGAAGAAATGATTGTAATGAAAGACGATTAATCTTTCTTTTTTATAACAGTGTAAATCAAAATAAGACCGCATCTTGCCTATGAATTACAAGATACTGATTGATAATTCCCAAGTCAGAACACGGCGTGATAATAAGGAGATATCTCCTTATTATCACGCCGTGTCCTTCAGTATCTTGGCTGGATTGGACTTCCGTACTTATTAGTAGGTATATACCGCTTTCTTACAGGCAGATCGACCCCATTTGAACCCACATCATCTGGACAGCAAAGGACTCCAAAAGACGGCTGATTCAGGATGGAAAAATTAACGAACACTACGCTAAAAGCAAATGGTAAATCTGGCTGACCTCAAACATCACTTGAACCAGAGTGTGTTACATTAATCACTACAGAGCCTTCATGTGTTGTGTCTGCAGGCTCGAAGCATTTTAAAAATGTTATGCAGAAAAAAGATATGCTTTCGAGGAGAAGTGACATTTTGATTCTTGCATAGTTTATGCAATATATTGCATAATGTCAGTTCCTGAGTCTAAGATCCACCAAACAATGGTGAGCAACTTCATCAGTTTTGCATATAAAGGTCAGTTACCCAGTCATGTGAGTAGTACTCATCCTGTGAAAATAAGCTTATGTCTGGCAAAGATAATTAAACTATAGATCAGTCGTCGGCAATAGGCGGCCTGTGGGCCAAAGCTGGCCCGCTAGCAATAATGTCTCGCCCGTGGCCAGATTACTTTGATACCGGCAAAACAGATCTCAGTCATGACAGCAAAAGTTACTCACATAATCACTTCCTCTTAAGTGATTGTGCCTACAAAATAAAAGCCTTTGTAGCAGTATGTTGTGTTTCATTGAGAGATTTTGCTTTGAAAAGTTCTGAAGAAAATTCAAGAGTCTCTGGCTAGCTTGACACACTTTGCTACAGAGGCGTGCGACCTCTGACACATACAGCAATTATAAGTCACTTTGGATAAAAGCGTCAGATAAATGAATAAAATTAAAACGCGAGATCACGTGAATGGAAAAAGCAGGAATTTCCTCTGCATGGAGACACGAAAATAAGCGTCCATAGGTTGATGTGGACCAGTCTCACTCCTGCACATGCTTAATTGTGATAATACAATCTCTTCACAATGTTGTTGATAAAGGAAGAAAAAAATACTGAGACCTGTGCACTACCAACTGAGCTAATCGCACAAACAGCAAATGTTTTAACTATAAATGGTTAATTAACAATGTTCTGGCCCGCCAAACTTTCAAGTAACAACTTATTTGCTGACCCTGCTGTAGCAAATCAGCTGCCAATGGTATTTTATGAAATCTAAATTTTCCCCAGATTTGAATTTTTTTTTTTACCTTGATAAAAAAGGCAACAACCATAGAGCTCTGCCTGTAGCCATACCCAACGGTGATGCTATGATGAACTTACAACACCCTGAACGCTGAAGAGCTGGAGTACAATAACAAGTGAAGAGCAAGATTTGAATTGGTTTAAATTCCTCTCGGTTACTTTTCAGTTGTTTCTGTACGTTGCAACAAACAACTGTTTGGGCAGTTGTTTTCTTCTGATTCATTGCAAGATAAATGACATATAATCTATAGATAATCCTCTGCCTTACCTTGCCTCTGAGCTTCCACAGAGACGCATACAGTTTGCAGCAGACTGTCTGTCAGCCTCTGCAGAGCCTGGTAGCTATCGATGGCAGACAGGAAGCGGTCAGAAGGCTGGTTGGCGATGGTCTGAAGCTGCTCCTGGTTGGCTTGTCCCACCCCGATGCCAAACACAATGACTCCGTGCTGCCTCAGACGCTGGGCGGGGTCTATCACATCATCTGCAGAGTCGCCATCTGTGATGACCACAGCGATCTGGGGCACCCGCTGGCTGGCTCGGCTTCCCGCCTCTTTGGTGAAGTACCGCGTCAGGAGGAAGTCGATGCCCTTGCCGGTTTCTGTGCCTCCCGTTCGGTAGGGAATGTTATCCACCGCGGCCAGCAGGGATTTCTTGTCCTTGTGATCCTTCAGCAGGAACTCCTGGTGAGGGTCATCACTGTACTGAGCCACGCCGATCCGAACTTTGTTGGGGCCAATGTCGAGGCCCTCGATGACGTTGTGGAGAAAAGTCCGGACCTCTTGAAAGCTCGTTGCGCCGATGCTGGAGGAGCCGTCCACCAGGAAGACGATGTCAGCCACCGTGGCTTTGGCACATTCTGGACAGGAGGGAGAAAAAAAGTCAACATTTGGAGCAACAAGTTAAGGAAAATGTGATGTGTTTGTGTCGTTTACCCATAAAAAATTCCTGAAACACTCAGAGATGCTAATTGACAATAATTCGGCATACATATGACGCAAATTTACCAAAATGTACATAATAAATGTAGTCACAGCTAATGGTGCGTTCCATTTGACATGGGAAGTCACAAATTCCGAGTTCATAGTCGGAAATTTCAAATGGAACGACCCCTTTAAGTCGGATTTGGAAAGTCGGGAGAATCGCACAACCCCGACTCCGTGATCCAAGATTGCTGCTCCGAGTATCAAAAGTTAGTGAAAGCTGTATGCTGCCATCTGTGGACGTGTTGTTACTGTGTTCAGTATGAGTAAATACTGCACGATGCGTTTTTTTTAGTGCTGGGCAACGATTCAAATTCACGATTGTTATGTGCAAAATTGAATATTGAATTCTAAAGTAGTGTACTGCGCACTTTTTATTTAAATGCACTGCTATATACACAAAAGTGCAATAACATGTGGTTTGTAAACACTTTTAAACAAATAAGGCGCTTTTTCCCAGCAATATTCCCTTTACACAGCAGCAATAAAATATTTCTGTTAAATCTCAACTTAAACATGAATGTAATCAAATCAAATATTAAAACAAAGCTACTATTTGCCACTGCCAGGTGGTAAAACAAGTTACCATCAGAATCCAGTTTTCTGGGGGGGGGGTTCTGAACAGGTATCAGCAGAAACATTTTCTTTTCTCAGGGAGCAGCAGGAACAGTCTGTTCAGCAGCAAGTGTCCCTGTTAGAGGGAGGGGAAGTGCTCGCCACACGCCCTCCGCTGCCGCCGCCGAAGCTGAATTGTCACAAATCACTGGAAGAGAGACTGATCCTCGCTGTTCGGGAGTTTCTAGAATCTGTTACTGTTTAACTAAACAGGACATCAGCAGGAGGGAATTCACACGGCAGATCGTTCCCTCAAAACTAGATGAAGGCCTGGCAGGTAAAGTTATGTATAATTTTAACCTAAGTTAAATAGGCTACAGCTATGTAGCGCACAGAAGCTGTTGCCATGGTTACTCTCATCAGAGCGCCTGCAGTTTACTTGCGGAGCGCTTGTCTTTCTTCTCCCACACGCTCTATCCAGCGTAGTCTGCCGAGGCCTCCATCCGCTGCTTGTCTGGGTGGCTGATTTGCAGCCGGATCAACATCCCCCCCTCCTGTGACCCACGGTTTAACTGCGTGTGTATCGTGGGTGGTGATGGCGCACAGATAAGATGCTTGCCTTTGCTGTGGGAGACCTGCGCTCGATTCCCACTGTGAGACATCCACCATTGTGTCCCTGAGCAAGACACTTAGAGGCGTGCGACCTCTGACATGTATTGTAAGTGTAAATGTATCAATAATAATAATTTTAAATAATAACGCGTTAACTGACTGATGGAGGTTTTCCGACTTGTTAACTGGAACGCCGCCAACTCGGGAGTGATGTCGTTCCCAGCTCCGACTTCTGAGGTAAATGGAAAGCACCACCACTAACCAACTCCATGGCAACATAATAATTCCTGTTTACATCTCCCAAAGCGTGATGGGAAGATTCATGAAATGTTTTGACACGAGGAGTAGTGTTGGGGGATGATGTTTTCTCAGTTTCCTCTGAGGGGGATCCACAGAGTATGAAAACCCCTGTCCCAGAGCAACATTAAACCCAGGTTCACTTCTCTGAGCAAGGCCACCAGACCAGACAGCAGAGCTGCTGACAAAAGAAGACGACGGTGGTTAAAACGGTTAGCTCCGAGTGTGCACCACTTGCATGAGGGCTTATATATACGCAGGGTGGATCACCTGGGAATGCTGCAAAATTAAACAACACAGAAATACAAACTGCAGAAAATGACCACATACAAGCTGAATTGACACCTGACAGATCCTGTCAACAAAAACTAACCAATAATAGCTTCAAATAGGGTAGTATTAGTTTCAGCGATAACGAAATGAGATTTTAAATGAAAGTATTGACCTCGGAAACAGCAGCTGACTGGACATTTGGTCCTTTTACAATTTAAGTTCAAATTGTTTACTACTCTCACAGTTCATACAGGATCTGTGAAGCTCATCTTCAAGCCAACAAGTACAAGATCATTTGATTGTTTTGTCAATAATTAAACACATTATACTCTGTGGTCCACTTTCTCTGAACGCTCAAGGCTGATTAAATAAAGGTTTACAACCTTTTTCTGACAGATGACATTTCAGTGAATTCTGTTTCTGGAGAATAAAAATACTTTGGGCATCAACCGGCCTGTAAAACTCTAGTAAGGCTCAATCATTGCTGAGATATAAGAAATACTTAAGTCCCAACAAGCAGTGCGGTGTGACACTTATTACCTTGAGACAATTGCTGGAGTTGTCGTTTGGCTTCTTCTACAGTTGTGCAAAGCGTCTGGACGATGCTCTGAGAGATTCCCTGCAGCGCTGCAAAATTAGACACGCTGTAGACGTGCTGGCTGTCCGGCTCATTCGCTATCTCCTTCAGCTGCTCTTCATCCGCGTCTTTGATACCAATTGCATACAAAACAATTCCCTTTCTCTTCAGATTCTCGGCGTAGGACTCCACGTTGTCTTGCGATTTGCCATCGGTGATCACCACAGCGATCTGAGGCACCTTCTGGCCAGCCCTGCTGCCAGCCGCCTCCACAAAGTGCTCATTCAGCATGAAGTCCAAGCCTTGCCCCGTCTGGGTGCCGCCCCCCATGTAAGGCAAGTTTGTGATGTACTGGAGGATGTCGTTTTTGTTGTTAAAGGTGTTGAGCAGGAACTCTGTGCGTGGAGTGGTGCTGTACTGGACCAGCCCGATGCGGACGTGTTCAGGCCCGACGTCAAAGCTGTTCACCAGCGTGAACAGAAACTGACGGATCTGCTCGAAGTTCTCAATGCCGATGCTCCACGACCCGTCGACCAGGAAGACGATGTCGGCTACAGCCTCTTGAGTGCAGACTAAGAGGCAAGGTTGTCAAATCATTGAGATGTCTTGCAGATAAGAAGTCACAGGATGCTACAAGGGAAGCTCTTTCTACCCGAGCAGTTCTTAAAAAGCGTGCCTGCCAGCCAGCCAGCTAGCCAGGGGTGGTTAGGTAGGGTCAGCGTGATCTACAGGAAGAAGCGGTGCGTTGCTTGTGATGTGTGAAAGCCAGAGGAGAAACAAAATGAGCAGCTTGTTCTCAGGCTGTGGGCAGTTTCTGGACAGAAGCAGTGATCGACTTACCTTCAGGTGCACTCTCGGATGCAAAAGTGTAAGGAAAAGGAAGCAAAGGTTGTGTGGCATTCAGCTTGAGCTCATCTACTTGAGAAAGACGTGAGGGTGCATACGGAAGTTCAACAAAGTGCTGATCCATCCCTTCATTCCTTAATAGCTTAATCAGGACTCGTTAGTGTAATAGTTAATAAGATGTTTTCATTACCCCACATTATCTGAGTTATTACTAGAAACACCTCAAAGAGATAAAAATCCACTGTAATCTTACTGGAAGGGAATTTATCTCCACTGAAGATGTTGTGCATTTGACTGTAATGGAAGAGAACAGACTTTGCATCCCATCACAGACCTGCAATTAATTTCCTTAACTAAGTATTTCATTTAAAAGTTCAGTGTGTAAGTTTTAGTGGCATCTAGTGGTGAGAGCTGTGAATTGCAACCAACAGCTCAGTCACCGCTCCCTTTGCAAACGTCCAGGAAAAGCTACCGTCGGCTCTTGTGCTAAATAACACGTGTCGTTATTAATTTGTTCAAATTCTTCTTCTCTACTGCTACTACTAACATTTAGGGCTGCAACTAATGACTATTTTCGTAGTCGACTACTCTGTTAATTATTTATTTGATTTAACTAATTAAATATCTTTCAAGTGAATTACTAATCTCCAACGCTCAGCCTAACAGGCTAACGTTACCATTAAGTGAACGAGGTTTACTCTTCAGAATGAACACCAGTATCAACGCCAGGGGGAATTCAGGGAAGACGACAAGACAGCGTAGGATACTCCTATAACTCACTGATTTATACAAACTTTTAACTGATTAACAAAGATTTTTGCAAGGGCTATAACCTCAACACTAACAATGTAATGTCTATTTAGAACAATAAAGCCAGAGCCCCCTTTCATAATACTTCTGTAGTTTATTTTTCAAAAGTGCTTATAAGTTTTAGGCAGTTACTCAGTGGAGAATGTTTTGTAGGCGACATCACGAGCCAGATGTTCCTTGATGTTCTTTAAACCGTTACTCATTACTAACAACTGGTTTAAATCTGGGTCTTCGATGTTGACGGCGTTGTGTTGGACAGATTTGTGCTGCGGTGTTGATGAGAGAGAGACAAGCGAGAGGATGTGCTGCGCGAATGAGCTACGGCGCTGATCTGCAATCAAATAAGAGGTCTGAGTAACTGGGACCAGGTCTCTCCGTGGGCGGGACCGGTGTTCTGGCGATCTATGCTGCCCTATAGAAAAAAGCTGCCTTATGTGTTCCCTTTTCCAATCCCATAAAGTTATAACTCTCACAGTATTATGTATATCAGTTTTTTGATTATAACATCATTTCAGGGGTAGCATATTCTGATTAATTGATTGATTCTGACTAATATCCCCTATCAAATAATGCTCCCACTGCAGAATCATTTTATATTGCACCACTAATCACTCCATGTGTTCTGTATATGATGGGGAGCTTGTTGAAATACTGTATTATGCCATCTTTATTTAAGATATCAGGGGTAGCGTATTCTGATTAGACTAATAATTTTTAATGTTACAGATAATCAGCCACTTTTTTGAGGGCAATGCCAACAGCAAGGTTGCACAGATTTATGGGCGTGGAAACAAACCACGCTTGTGGCTCATACGCATGCGCAGAACCGCTAAGTAGCGCATCTCGATAGGGCGCATCAATTGACAGAACACCGGCCGGCTGGCACCGCTAACCTCGCCACGCCGTTTGAGCACATTTTTGATTCGTCATCAACTTTGGTAAACATGCAAATATTCAAATTCTACACAGTTGATTTCTCGCCTCAAAACCGCTCAAAATAGCGTACAAAACTTGTAAAAACAAAAGCCGTTCTGCTGTTCGCCTCTTTCTCCATTACTTTCTGCTTCTCGCATTCATCTTCTTCGTGAGTAGTCTCACTGTCATGGCAGACAGTGGAAGCGATACTGTCCCCAGCACTTCCTGTAGTGCACTGCAGTTAGAAATAAACAACCAGAAATGTTCCTAATATGAAGATTGCTCTCTCTCCCTTAAACGGCATCTATGTAACGACGCGTCAACAATGAAATTTCACATCAACGAATTTTTATAGTCGACGTCGTCGATTACATTGACTAATCGTTGCAGCCCTACTAACATTACTTCTTCTTCTTCGTACGTATATATAGTGATGAAACACACTCTGTAGAGCAGTTTGTCTGTTCGGGCTACTGTAGAAACATGGCGGCGCAACATGGCGACCTCCCTGTACGAGGACCCGCTGTGTCTGTAGAGAGAAACGGCTCATTCTAAGGTAATAAAAACAGTTCATTATATCAGGTCTTTGTACACCACTGAGAACATATTTACAGGTCTTAAATTGCATTTCTGTCAATAAATCCTCCTAAATTTTACACACTGGACCTTTAACTAACCTCCGCTAAACTTTAGCCATAATTTATTTGCAATAACTCTTTCCGAAGTTGGCATTTCCCTCTTTCCCCATTTCCATCCTGTAGGCAGATTTTGTTGATAAACCCTTTTTTCTAAAAATGTCGAATGTAACCCAGATTTTTGCAGAATCGTTTAATGTCAATCTTCTATCTGGCATTTGGCTGGAAAATACAGATTAATTGGTTTTATGCAACTACTGATCCATGCCCGTGATTTTCTGCTGTTGAGAACTACTTAATGCTTCATATCCACGTGCCCAGCAGCAAAACATTCATGTGCAGGGTTAGTAACAGTGCACCTTACATGTTTATTATGAAAATGAACTTCTAAACTTACCACACACACATTTGCTATGCAAGGCACATTATGTATGTGCATGTGTGTATCTACATGCATTTCTTATGGGCTGATGTAATGTTGAAGTAGGGGGGTGTTTGCTATGATCCTTTATGTGCTGTTATGCAGGAAGTTAAGTCATCGCAGCATAATAATACCCACCTGTCCTCTGAGCAGCACTGGCGTGCAAACACGCTGCCATGATGAGGCTGAGGAGAAGACCCCGCCTCCCCTCCATGCTGGAACGTCTCTCGCGTCTCTCTTCCTACAACACAAAGACAAAGGCGACCATAAATGCAGAGAACCAATCTGTTTCCCATCTGGAAGACGCACACAGCGTAGGAACATGATTGTTCCAGCAATTTGACTGCACACATTAACAGACATGAAAACAGGCCACATCCAGCGCAGCTCTGCATTAGAGAACTTCAAAACGTTTGTTTTGTTCCCAAGAATAAAAACACCTCTAAGCTGCGGTGTGGTGGGCTGCACAACAAACAACTCTGATATTCTGGAACATGCAGCATTTAAAGAAGAATTTACTAAACCCTTTAATGTGTGTGCCAAAGAACTACGCTGTGTTTCAATTCGTAAACTTCCGTTGGTACAGTGCTGTTGGGACGACGGGAACACTACAGATGACCTAAACTGAACTTTTGTCATGAAACTGAGCCGTTGAACTCCCACAATCCTTTGGGAAGTCACACCCAGGCATGAATAAATTCAGCTATTGTACTACGATTGGTCAGTGACCTGACATGACAGACGATTTAAGGGAAGAGACGCACCACTACAAAAATCCTGATTAGAATCCTACGGTAAAAGCCCGTTAACGCCAAAGATGGCGGTTGTATTCACATGTCCCGCCCCTCCTGCAAGAAAACCAATCATCTGCTTTTAACAGCCGAGCCGGAAACATATTAAGCCAATTTTTTTAATCCAACTGTTTCAGATTTTCCTGCTGATTGTCTACATGCAGGTTTTATGTCCCGGTCACCAGTGCAAGTGCAGTTATGGCTCTCTTCCTGTAATTTAGAGAGAGATCTGATCCTGTTAGTCCCTGGAGGCGTTACCAAGATGGCTGCCGTGTGGCGGGATTTGCCAGTGTGACAGCAGAACTGAACTTTCTTTCTCGCGGCAGCGGCTCGAGTGCCTGCATAAGACCCCTGTAAACCAGCTCAGTTAGCCAGTTAACTTCACCAAGCAACAAAAAGAGCAATGAAGTAGCTCAGCGTGCTGTTACGGCTGTATGCGTTTCTCTGTGCTTTGTCCATGTTCCTAGTTCTGCCTCAGGAGTGCTACAGCTGACAGAACGAGGTCCACCTGGTCTTGGAAGGCGGTCTTTAAAAGCTCCTGTGTAAGCGTCAGAAGAGAGGCTTTTTGATTTGGGACTGCTGGTCTGGCTGCCCCTCAGCTGGAGCATTTTGTGTTATGTTCTTGTCATCATCTTGTTATGTTAATTAATTCCACTGATTTGGTTGTTTTAAAGGAGTTTATTTGTGTTAAATTTGGGTCAGTGTTGGAGCGTTGGAGCCACCAGTTAATCTAGATCAAGGTGTTTGGTACGGTAGCAAAAGATCTCTTAGTTTGTCAATTAATGTGAAAGAAGAAAACTTACCGGTTAAAAACACTTTAGTTCAAAGAACCAGAAATAAACAAATCAGCCAGATTTTAAGGGGTACAAGAGTTTGTTGAAATGGATGGTGCCTGTCGTGTGTCAAAGTCAAAGTGGATCACTACTCAGGGCCTCACCAACACAGAAATACACACCCACTCCGGCTGCTATCACACCCTGCGCTGAGATTTCCAAAGTGACGCTCACGATCCGGCAGCATTGCACCATGTGATGGGTGAGGAGTGTGTAACGTGGGCGTCTTCTGCGGTATCAGTGTGATTATGGAAATGATCCCCGCACACTGTCATGAACTCATCTCCTAGTGTGACATAAAACCATAACTACACTGAATAAATCCTCAAGTGAGCACTGCGAGGTTGGCAGTTTAGTGGGTATTACAGCACAGATAGTAAATCACTGCAGAACGCTGTGTGTGCATGTCTCTGAAAAATAATAATAAAACTTGTTATGCTATTATAACAGTTTATGAAATACAGGGGGGTCAGAGAGAAAGCAGAGGAGGGATTACTCACCAGAGGAAGACAGGGGCTGAATAGCAGTAATAACAATAATATGTATTCCTTCTGGAATAATAATAAATAATACAAATAAAATTAATTTAATAACACTAAACTAGGCCAAAAGAACAGGTGAAGTAGGAAAGAAAAACCGTTCAAAACCATCAGAACCAAACCAATAAAATCAGAGCCAAAAATGACCTGCTAATGTTAAACCCCGCCCCTAAATAGAGACTGTCCAATCATAGAAGCCGAGGAGCTTCAGGGTCAGCCTCATACCCACTAAACTCAGAGTTTGAGTCGCTCCCATCTGGCCGTGGATTCAGGGTCCCGAGGGCCAGCCGGAACATCTGTAAGAGATCTTTAATTCCCCGTGCCATCCGGCCACTGAAGCAGCAGTGACGGCACTTGAAAATGTGTTTCTTGAAGGTTGTAGCCTGCCGTATTTCCATCTGCTGCATTCCATTTTCTTTACAACTATTGTTGTATGTTTAACTGTGTGTTTTTTGAATGTGTGATAATTGTGGTGTCAATGTTGTATATTTGTTTGGAGCAGCCAAAGACAAATTTCCACTAAGGTGGACAATAAAGTCTGATAATAGCGTAGCTAACGTAACTTGGTGTGGCCGATCTGTCGAGCTTTGGGGGCATTAATAACTTTATTTATATATCACCTGTTACAAAGTCCTTAACAATAAAAACAAATGTTCCAAAGTAAATAACATCCAAAACACAAGTTATAAATATCAAAGACCAACTGTAGAGAAAAAAGTGAATCTTAAGAAGAGACTTCCACCAGTGAGAACACAAATATGGACTCAATCCCTCTGAGCACTGAGCTGTGAAAACTAACAACACATAAGTTAGTTTTTGCTCTCTCACTGGCATTTACTGACGTTTTGCAATTAAAATTCAGAACCAGACTGTTTAACAGTGAAAAGTAAGGTTCCATAAAACTAACAGGCCCCAAACACACCCCTGTAAGCCTAAATATATTGTTATTGAAACAGTAATTGTCCAGCAGGGTAGATATTGAGGCACTGAGATATTAAGAGCACTCACATTTATTGCCCATTTACTCCAAAAAAGGCTTTTCTTGGAGCGATTAGTGACAAACATGAAGCAGAGCTGCTGCCACTTACTGCACTTCTGATCTATCCTCACGCATGCAAAACTAATTAAGAAAGGGAAATAATGTACAAATAAAACAGAAGATTTGTTCAGCGAGAGATGAATGATGGAAAACAAATCGCTTTTGCAACTCACGCCACCACAGTGCCAAACTTCATAACTCCTTCACTGTGCTGACGTTCCTTCCAGAGAACTCGGCTGTTCCGGGATCTGCAGCCAAAGAATTTAAAACATTTCTGCCCAAACAACAGGCTGAAGACTAAAAGCGTCCCTTTCCACACCATCTGGATCTGCTTACCGTCTAATAGTGCCATTTCCTGCCATCTGCGGGCAGCACACACTGTCTGTCAGGTCAGATGTCGTGTGAATTCACTTGATGCTGCTGCTCGCTGATGGACGGACCAGACTCTCACTCCCTCTGCTCTTTGGTTACATCTTTCTTTTACTTCTTGCTTAGATAATTATACAAGAATAAAGAAGAGCTGGGAAGTGAAATAAAAATATTACCATCTAAAACATGTGTCATATGCTAGTCTGAGACACACGTGCATTCAGCTAAAAGGCAGGGACCCAGATGTTGCACCGTCACCAGCAGACACAACTTTAAAATGACGGCCCAGACGATACTGGATATTTCCAAATATTTCCAAATAACGCCTAAAAGTGTCTTGAAGGGAGGATTTATTGAAGGACTGTTGAATCAGAATGCTGTAGTTTTAGCTAGGTGTACCTAATTAACTGGACAGAGAGTGTATATTCACTTGGAGGAAGATCATCCCTAAGCCCCCCCTCTGCCAGTGGACCGCCACAGGACCTTATTTTGTAAAAAATATATATGTTAGTCAATGTCAAGAGACATCTAATTTTTTGATCCTGTTTGAATTGTGTCATGAATTACACACATGATGTTTGTCAGTTTAAAGAGGTGGTTTTCTGCTCATTTTCAGGTTCCTCATCTTATTCAGAGGTTGTACCAGAGCAGGTTTCCGTGGTTATATTTTTGTCATACTGCACATTGCTGCAGCTCCTCTTTTCAGCCTGTGTTGAAGGCTTCGTTTTAGCTATGGAGTGATACATCTTGTCTCTAAATTATCTTTGTTGGGAGTTGCACATGCTCAGTTCCTAGTTAAGGACTACTAGCCAATCAGAAGCAGAGAAGGGCGGGTCGGCGAGAAGCCGGTAAACAGCTCGGGTTCAGCCGTACGTGTTGCCGACCGGCTTGGCAACACGGACTGGAGCGAGAGTTTCAGAGTGGTGAGTTATTAATCTGTATCCATAAAGTTTTAACTGAGCTCTGTCTCTACATCACAGGAACAACTTTATGTCCACTGACTGCCTGGAGGGTAGCTAGTGTTTGGAAGGGAGAGGAGAGCTGTGTGCTGCAGCTCGCTGTTTCTGAGGGCGTGTCGGAGTCGCCGCTTGGCGAGCGTTATATGAGGCGCGTTTAGCTTTCATCCCTGTGACGTCACAGTTTTCTGTGGGAGATGGGAACTCCCTTTGGGCTGAACTTTGGGCTTTTTCACTTTGCAAACCTGTTACATGCACAAAAAAGATATATAACTCAATAAAGGAGAGGGGAAAAGCCAAAAAGCAGAATATGACCTCTTTAAAAGATAATTTAAGTCAAAAATGTTGCGGTTTGTTTTAAAATGGTTGAAATATGACACTGTGAAAATAGGAAATTACAAAGACCACAAACCCAAAAGTTGCGGATGTGACGTCGTAACGGTTTCTCTCAATGACTGAAGCAAACAACAAAGAGCATCCATGTGTAGATGATAATACATCTACGAGTGGAACAGAGTTAAGTTACATAGCTACTAGCAAGCAAGCAATTAGCGTTAGCTTAGCATTACAGCGTTAACATGTTAGTGACAAATATAGTGCGAGACGAGAGATGTAGTTCATTGAGCCGTTTCACAAAAAACTAAATGTTACTTTACTGTTTTACGACAAACTGAGACTTCCTTGAGTTGAATTTTATTTTAAACTGACAAACAA